ATTTTCAGAAACGCAGGCCAATGTTGGTCTTCTTCGCAGCATTTGCAGCAATACTGCACGTTCAGCTCAATGTGGAACCTCATTCAGTTCTAGATTTGAAGCTTTCGTGACTGCAAGGATTCATACTCTTAGTTTTTTCAGATTAAGTTACGTAGGTAAAAAATAAAAAAATAATAAAAATAGAAATAATAATAGAAATAAAATAATATCAAATGTATTATTTTATTTCTATTATGATTTCTAAAATAATATAATAAATATTTAATTTCTATTATTTGTATTTTTTTTTACCTACGTGACTTTACCGAAAAAACCTAAGAGTACCTCATTCAGTATTTGCAGCATTCGATAGTGTTTGCAGTAAAGCTGCACTGTGGCAGCCCAATGTTCCCTTGGCCATCACGTGATCGGCTTCGGACCAATCAGCGGCGAGTTGGTCGCCGGTTTTTTTCTACAAAGCACCAAATGTAAACACGTGGCGGCGGCGGCTGCTGCCGCTACGGTGGCCGCGTGCAATTTGTTACTCATTTGGCGATTTCTAATTGCAGACAAAACCGTTCGTTTCATTCATTCGTTTTTCAGTCCGCTTGTTCTGGTGAAGGGTCTCGGCTGCAAGCGGAGTGTTGAGTAGAGGCGGTCCAGACCTCCCCTTTCCCTGGCGACAGACTCCAGCACTACTACACTATACACTACCATACATTACACTACTATTCACTACACTATACACAGTTTAAATAACGTGCTGTGCTTTTACGTGTGTCAATTGAGCACGCAGCTTTGAATAACGATGCTATGAAATATCCGTTCACCGTCTGTGTTTAAAAACGAAATAAATAACATTAAAATACTGTCTATACTGCACTTGTTAATGATACCACTTTGCTCAAATTATGTATAATAACTGCGTGTCCGCTACTCAGTCTTTACAGAACAAAAATCCACTGCTTGATGAAGGCATCTTTCCCCACGTCGTGTTGGTGAAGTTGGTAGGACCATACTTCACCACGCCAGTCAGTGCGGATTGATGAAGGGATATGGGTTTATACTCTTAGGTTTTTTCGGTAAAGTCACATAGGTAAAAATAAACATAGAAATTAAATAATAAATCACGACGTTTCGGAGGCAACACAAGTCTCCGTCATCAGGTGGGAATGTCACAGCTAAATTTATTGTATCAAGTATCATTTGTATCATTTACTGTATCAAATTTAGCTGTGACGGTCCCACCTGATGACGGAGACTTGTGTTGCCTCCGAAACGTGATTTATTATTTATTTTTTATTTATACTTTATTTTTACCTACGTGACTTTACCGAAAAAATCATAAGAGTATGAATCCTTGCAGTCACGAAAGCTTCAAATCTAGGATATGGGTTTATCATTGGGACTTAAACACCGATTCAGACATCACTTGCCACCGATGTGAGCCATCGACACGGCAATCCAACTCTGATGGCCGAGTTCGTAGCGTAGTTGAACTTAGAGCAACTTTGATAATTGTTTTTTTTACCCTTCTATCTGGCAACAAAACTGACACCTTTTTTACAACGAGTCATGTTTACATAGACCACAATACCTGCAGTCATAATGCAAACAAAAAACATAACTCTGAGAAAAAAAAACAATTATATTTTTACTGGCAAATGAGGTTCCAATGGTGTTAGACTAGAGCAACTTTGTTCCATACTGCGTCAGAGCTCTCAACCTTTAATGTCATTGAAGCGAATGAATGGACGGGACTGAGTGACTGGTGGCCGCTAGAGGGCATTGCAACACAGCGCGACAACGATCCTCACAATTCATGAACACGTTTGGCATTCCCTTGAGAATTCTTAAATCTAATCAATGCAACAGCAAAAAAGACACGTGCTCGCAGCTCATGCATATGCACTAGTGTCACACCGTGGCACTAATTGCAGCGATGCATACAGATTGTGCAGCTTATAAATATTGACCCGACGTACATTTTTGCTATGAAGATGGGCCAAAGCCAAAAACTTGTCCTATTTATTTTTGTCCTTTAATGGAACAATAATATTGACGAATTTGCTGCGGTTTTTATATATAAAACTGTCATTTGTACTTGTGCACCACTGCCAACGCAGTAGTATCACTAAATAATTTGGAACAGGAATGTCCACGCGTGCATAATATTCTCCGACTGCAGAGATTTGTTTACATTCTCACATGCTGAGCATGGCCATTCCGTTATGTATTGTAACGGATTGTTTGCATGTTGTGGACTGATTCCATCACGATACGTATGAACACAATTACAGTATATCGTGTTTTTTTTTCTCTCTCACCAAAGCAAAAGCCTGAAGGAGCAGTTCCAGTGGGAAAAAAACTGGTCAAGAACAACCTCTGGGGAATCAGAGATGTCTTCTCGAAAAACAGCGAGATCAGCTTTCACATGCCATTGCTTTGTCAATGCGGCGTGCAAAATGTATATTTCTTTATGACCCTTGAGCTACACCCATTTCAAACATTTTAAAACAGTCTGCATCAGCAGCAGACCACGCTTTCCCACCCGATGATGGACGCTTGTGTTGCGCCCGAAACGTGATTTATTTTGTTTTATTTTATACCTACGTGACTTTACCGAAAGAACCAAAGAGTATGAATTCCTGCAGTCACGAAAGCTTCAAATCAAGATTGTACATTGAGTTTAGCTCCATGTCAAGAGCCGGCTTGCACTGAACACGCGTAGACTCCCAACTTTCATGGACATACTCGAGTGCATAACCTTCATTGGCTCTCCATGCATTATTGACTTTGCTCGTTCTACCGATAGCCCAGGCTGGGTTGCCTCACTGTCAGAGCCCTCTCCAGACGGCTATAAATGGCATCGGAGCCTTCACCGGAACTCCAGCGATGCATAATTTAGCGATCGTGGGTATAAACGTGCCATCAACATCGGTTGGGGGTTGAGCGAAGAAATAAGATGATGGATCGGCGCGTGGGCATTAAAACCACTAAAGTGTTAGAGAACAAGCCTTACAACACGAGGATGCTCTAATATAGCATGCTCACGGTTTCGACACGTGCAGTTGCAATATACGGCGGCATTCGTTAGTATGTAACCTGTGTGCAGGCGTATGAGGTCATGCTCAAGAAGAAGCATTGGTTGGTCGTGTGTATTGGCCTCAAAAGCCAAATAAGCCACCTGTTTGAGTTAATAAGCCACCCATGATAAATTATGGAGGGGTTGATGTGCTGTGCCTTAATGGACTTGGTGCAAATCGGTGTTTTGTCAAAACGCTGTTTTATCACAGCAATTATTTTTGGTAACAAAATAAAAAAAATCCTTTCCACAACATCCTTTGTACCGCTCCACAATTGAACATTTGGATAATGGCTTCATGCCGATGCCACGGAGGGCAGTGGAAGCCTAGGTGTCTACATTGCACTCCAGTACAAACTGCAACTTTTAGGCTAAATGGATGGTTCTTACTGCGCAGAGCAGCCGAGTACATTGTCACATTCAACACGGAATTAAGACAAAATAAATTCCCAGCGGCACAATCACAACCAATGTAAATACATTCTATGTCACTCTCTTGTGCAATAGTCATAACGACAGAATAACACATTATAAAAAATGTCAGCATTGCCCTGAAGCTCTGAGCAATCCCTCCGACGATGATAAACTAAACGAATGTAATACTTTTAAACAAACAAAATATACTTTGGAAGGACCCTGTAACCTTTGTGTAGGCATTTGGACAGTATGGCATATTGGTGGTTTTGCTAGTTTAGAGTGGAGGGGGGGGGGGCTTAGTTCACATTTCCTGCATTCCATGTCTTTAACAGAATCCATGTGTGCTGCACTTGGAGTCCCCTGCCTCTTCACGCACATTCTGCAGGTCATTTTCTCAGAAGGCCGGGTTAATTACAACCTTGACACGCTCTGTCGAGCAGACAAAAACACCACGTGAAGTTAATAATTAAGAATTACCAGCAGACGTCGTTGTCTGGCAGTTACTTGGTTTTAAACACAGACAAAAATTGAGGTGACAATTTCTAACATATCTCTGAAAAGGATACGTGTTAAGATGCACCTCATCAATACTGGAGAACCATTCGGGTTACCACCTATCTTGGTTTTCCCTAGGTTGTCCTCTTTTTGAGGAAGCTGTCCTGAGAAATGTATAATTCTTCCTGGGACATCAAAAGTCTCCGTTTTAATCATTCGCCTAATGATACAACACTCGTGACAACGCATTTAAATGGAGCTCTCCCATATTTCAGTCTTGTGATATTCTTTTCACGATGTCCTCGTATGTTGTAACTCAAGAGGTCCTAACCCTAAGAACCAAACATGCAGTGCTGCACTAACCCGCAAAAAAACAAGACTGAATTTGTACACATCCAAACTACACAATCTAAAACAGTTGTTAAAATGGGTTGGTTGGTGCAAGGCTCGGCATGGCAGCGAGTCCATTCCACCACAGCATGGAAGGGCCACCCTGTGCGGGACCAACGGAAGCATCTTGCGAGAGATGAGCAAGAGGTCAGGCAGGCAAGTTCGACCCCGCCACTGCCGGCCTTCTCCTAACGAGGTGCACATGTGCAGGGCCTGGGTTTACACGTGCTAAATCAGCATGGTGGTGGTAGTGGCAGTCAGGCCTTTCTCCCATAATCAACGTTTTTGGGTTTAGATCGCGTTTATTTATAAATGTGTCGTAACCCTCCACCACCCGACACGGCCAATCAGTAAAAAAAAAAGTGTCACGTTGACAAAGACAAATAGTTCACTGCTTTAGCCCACCGGTGTGTTGAAGCCACAACATTTCTCCGTTCCCACCCTCCTGGAGGCTCCACTCGCGCTACTTGAATTGCCTGGCAGCAGCTGAGCCCCAGTGGGTGGGGGCAGAAGGGCAGGAGCTAGGCACTTGAAATGAAATAAGTGAGCTCAACAACATGTGCAAGACATACACAGACACCCGACACTCCACTGAGCTCAATAATGAAGGGAAAAAAAATCCAATGACAAATGATCGCTTTGCCAACTATTTACAAAAAAAAAGTGTATTATAAAAACACTGTGCATCTTTGGAAAATATTTTACAAGAGAGAAACAGTAATGAGTAAATCTAAAATACAGTACAGCCTTTTAAAAAAAAATTACCCCCATATTTACACACACCAAAATTTAATAAAACCATTCCCTTGTAAAATAAAAGTACATTTTGATGCCTTAATAAAGAGAATACCAATTTTAATTTACCACTTAGTATCGCTTTGACCAAAAACCTTAAATTATCAAGCTGAAAAATAGAAAAAAAATCTACAGCATTTGACGAGTACTTTGTTTAAGCTTATAGGCATTCCTCAATGTGAAATGTTTAAGGAATTTAATTAAGACCACTAGAGGAAATGCTTTGCTAAACAAAATATTACAAAAGTGGGATTCAAATGGCCAGGACCAATTTAGATTGGTGGCGGCATGCTCACCACACACACAGTTTGGTGGGCTAACGAACTACACAGATACACGAGTTTCTTACCCACATCTAGACACTCGAGAGAGGCATTCCTTGCCCATCATCAGCAACATTCTACAACCATAAGGGAACCTATTATGTGGCAGAGAGAAAACGGAATATAAACACCAATGTTACATTTTACTATATTATCTCGCTGGAGCTAAACTTCTCTGTACTCAACATGACTCGCAAATTTCACCATGTTACCATTATATAATTAGACCACATACTATACATTTTATAAATTCATGAGAGCCCTTATAAAATGTCCACCATTTTGTTCAGTGTCTTGTTTGGCACTCAAGGTGTGCATTAAGGACTGTGCTTGTGTCGAAAATCACTGCACCTACTACCTTGCCAGCAGTGGCAAGTAACTGCTAGGATGCACCTTTACCTTCATAAGCAAACAAGTGAGTTGCATTTTCATTCGATGGAATACAAATTTAAACTGAAGATATTACCCAAGAGGGACATTGTAATATGGCATATTGTTATCAAACGTCAGAAAGTACTGAAAGTTTCTGTCATTTGATAACTTACAACTTGACATTTAATTTTTTACCAAATATTAAAGTGATTATCTACGTGCAGACAAATACGTCGTGAATAACATGGCAGTAATGCAATTACAATCAAATGTGGAAGAAAAAAAATTTGCTTAAAAACTTTCACAAATTTTGGCCTTGCCATAAGAAATTTTTGACAGTTTTATGGCCGATCCTACAGAGCCTGTCAACAATAATACAGCTTTAGCTCTCTGACGTGTTATTGAGTTGTGCCACATTTTGTTAGGCATGCCTTAAGTTCTTCTGGAACTGATGGAAGTTCCTGAAGAAGCTCCCAGGACGTGCAGCCAAACATCAGAGATCATGCCAAAAAAAATGCAGTATAACACAAAAAACACGCATTGGACATCTATACAGCACGGCCACGAAAAGATCATGCTCAGCTACCTACCGCTTGTCCAAAACAAATATGGGTAAGTAAAAAATCGTCCCCACTGGTAAACAAAATGCCTTGCAATTCAACCAAGCCCCCAAAGACATTCTATTGCATCTCCTGCATATTGTTAAACAGCATCTAAAAATATTGCACACAAGTTAACTGCAAATGCTTGAAATATGTTTGACAGCATGCTATCTATACAGTATAATTGTGGAAACATTATCCCAAGCACCATGAGAAATAAGCAAAGCTCCAAATCGCATTAGACCAACACAAACCGGCATCACCCCTTAGAACTGATCCCTGTTCACAGATTTCATCACTTAATTTATATACAGGGGTTGGAGACTTGTCCAAACATCACTCTCTTCTTGGGATGAACAAATGATACATGTGCTGGCACCAGTCTTCAGTGCAGAACATAGAGCAGGAGTGCAGGTTTGAAATATAATTACGGAGAAATGTAAAAAAAATTCATTGCCAAATCTATCATTGCTTCGATGAGCCAAAGCTACAACATCTCCTGACACGAGTGTAGTAAATGACGCCGCATTCAGTAGGCTTTTAGGAATGTTATGAGCAAATTAATTGCCAGCGACAGCAGTTAAAGAAAAAACAATAATTCGGCATAAACATCTAAACAAAATATTTTGAACTTTGAAGAAACAACATCTTCATAGATATTAATTCTGGTTAATGTGCACATTCTCTAATGACTTAAAACATGTTTGAAAAGTATTGTTTAAAGAGTGTTTACGTGTATTTTAAGAAGCGGTTATTAACCATGATTAAAAGCTAAATGGTAAGAAGTGCACATTTACTGAAGCAGGTGCTATCCCAACTTAGTACAAGACCAAGGATAGCAGTTCACCGGGTCCACAAGGAACTTTACTTACAATAAACCTGCTATTTGATTAGCTCGAACCAAAGAGTATGGATTCCTGCAGTCACGAAAGCTTCAAATCAAGATAGATTAAAATAATAAACCCTTGACTGCACAGACAACTCTAATCCCTACGTACATTTCTAAGCTGTAACAGGTTTATCAGACTTGATTCATGATGTTATGTTATTCAAACGGACTTCATGAAAACATGGCAAACTTTTGACAATTAGCACACAATTACTTTGGAGAAATTGAACCCGACTAACCTAAAAATGTGTTGGGTTAATCGTCTCGACGTGATATAAGAAAATAGCATGGCCATGCTCACGCTCCAAATAACAAGAATGTCAACAATTCACAGGAAAGACAACTCTGAATTGTCCCCAAGTGTGAAGCCAGGGGTTTAACCCGTCTCAGGCAGAAAGAAAATCCCACACCAAAGACGATTCAACCCGGTTAAATACCAGCATCCGTGATGGCTCATACAAACTACTGTCGAAAACAGCTGAAGGCAAAAAAGCGCACTGGTGATCAACATTAAGGGTGGCGAGTTAGTAAACATCGTTATTTGCTAGCGTGTATTAAAAACTCGTCTCATCCAATCGTAACAACTCTTGCGATTATTTTAAACCACGCAAAGACAGCAGAGGGGTAAAGATAACCAGAATGCAACTTGATCCAGATGAGTAATAAAAGTACTGTCGCTATTTATATAATCATCATCTAGACAAGCAACGGCTGCTCTTCTGAGGCCAGCCAAGAAAACAGGGCACGTCTTGAGGGGTACAACACCACATTTCGGTATTCTACAGCCGTCAATGTTATAACAACTCCGGGTAGTTCATGACGCGTTTGCCCTGTCTCCACCATGACTTCCAACGAGCCACGTTATTCCCTAATTTTCACAAGAGAGCTCCGTGACACAATACGTTCCAAAATTGCAATTTCACCAGTAACAGCGATGCACCACGAGGTTCCGTAGAGTCCAATAGAGTCCAGTGTTGGCAAATGCATTGTATGTATAACTACTGTCGCACGTAAAGGAAAGGGGGAGAGGGGGGGAGAATTAGTGGGTGGAGGAGGTGGTCCAGGAGGAACACAAGGCATTGGTGCTGAGTTGTAGCACTAATGGCCAGGTTTAGGCAATCTTCTCCAGTAAGGGCGCTATGCGTCAGCATGGTCACCGCCATTCTCTTCCGTGTGCAGCTGTTGCTCCTCTCCATTATCCTCTTGTGGTGGCCGCACACGCTTGAAGAATCCCATCTGCAGGAGAGAAGGAGAAGTGTGAGGGGACAGTCAAATTGCTGCACCACACCAAATGCTCAAATGCTTGAGGAAGTAATGCCGCATAGCGAGATGTTCCTCAGCTGTGGAGCCAGATGGGGTGGGCCCGAACAATACAGAGGAGATCGTTTTGTGAGAAGGTGACTTCAATTAAGCATTCCGCACAAAACATCTTGAAAACTGGGTGGGATTGTCACTTTAAAATAAAAATTGAGTAGGGCTGCCGTGATATGGCAACACTACGATACATCTTAAGAGTATATGGTCGACAATAATATATCATCTGTTTGGCTAAATATTATATTGTGATCATAATTTCTAATTATTTTTTCTTAAACATTTTATCATCACACAATACTTAGGAAATAGAAAACGCAATAAATTAATTTCTAATGAATTCTATTATACAGTAAATTAGTATTTTGTTACGTTTTTAGGAGTAATTGATGGCATGGAATTCCACCATCTCTACAATGCATTGAAGACTAATTATTTTGGTGTAACTGACAGCATTATAGATTGTAATCATAAGAAAAATCTATGGCAGACTTTTGGCGAGTGGACTGCAGTTGATGAACATGTAAGTTATTTTAAATAATCTTTTCTCGTACAGCAAAGTACAAAAACAATACATTGAAAATGTCGACTGAAATTACAAAGTTATGGGGAGCTGACATCAGTGATAATTGTCACTTCGCAAAAGTAAAAAAAAAACATTTCATCGTGAAGAATTATATTTCAGCAACCCTAACGATTACCTTCCACATGGCGAAGACGAGGAGGGAGAGGAGGAGCAACCCTGCCAGCACAGCCACGATGATGACCCATACGGGCACGGGCTGGTTGCCGTCCTGGTTGGCCCACGCGACAATGGTGGAGACCTGTGAGTGACATCGCCGCTCGTCAGCACCAGAGAGAGAAGCGACGCCCGAAGCAATAGACAATTCACACCACCGAAGCGCGTTGGAAAATTGCAAATGAACATCAGTGATTCATATTCTTGGTTCTTTCGGTAAAGTCACGTAGAAGGGAAATAATAAAATAATAATAAAATTCTACAATATTTTTTTTATTGCTTATATTTTTATTATTTCCCTTCTACGTGACTTTACCGAAAGAACCAAGAAGAAGAATCCCTGCAGTCACGAAAGCTTTAAATCAGAACATCAGTGAGTTGGTAATAACGCTGGGGTTGGAATGGTGGCATGAACTGCACTACAAACCTGGCATCTTGCGTTTGATTATCAACTCTGGCTAACGCCAGTGGTGAGCCATATGTGAACGCAGTTCTTCACCAACCCACACTGACCAGCATGGTGAAATATGGTCATCAGGCAGTGCATTGACAATGCGCAGTACATGATGCATTTAAATATAATTTATTAACGTGTGCAAATAGGTTATTATGCTGACGATGCATGCTTGAGTGTATATATCGATTATTTTGTATTCATGCATAATTGTATTTCCCACCCTTTGGGCAATAATGATCGGAATTAATGAGCCAATGCAAGAAAGAGTACAAACGAGACAAAGCAGACTGCAGTACAGACCAGGAAGTAGATGAGACAGAGCAATTGACACAGTGCAGATGAGACAATACAAACAAGACAACGCCATACAGGCAGTACGGCAAGATGGACTACACAGTCCAGACAAAGGATCGAGAGTATCAACGCATGATTAACAAGTATAACCCGTAAAAACAAAGTTTTTCACTATAAATCCTTTATATGCGTGGCAGCGAACTTAATATAAAGGATTAAAAAATATATTCGCCTGTGGAGGACGCGGGGATCGATCCCGCGACCTTTGGCATGGGAAGCGAGGGCGCTACCAACTGCGCTACTCCGCCACGGCCTGTGGAGGGGTTACGCTCTGGGCTCTTATACTGTGACGTTCAGCCAAAGCCAAGAATGAGTTCTATTTGAATATATGTAAAATCATTTTTTTTGCCTAAACAGTGTAAAATTTTGGGAATTTTTTTTCACGAACATTAATTGTCTGGCACAACGAGTCTGTGTGGAAAATGTCAGCTCGATTGGATCACAGGAAGTGGGTTAAAAAACGACCGAAAGATTTGCACGGTCGTAAGCAAGCAAGCAAGCACGCAAGCATGCAAACTTAATATAAAGGATTTAAAAAGTGGAGACGAAGCTGATGGCACGATAACATTACCTGAAAGGCCCCACTGGGGAGCTTCTCGGGACGGATCTTGTAGGGCATGTCATTGACGGAGAAGTGTGCCGCCGATTCGATGGTGTGCTGCTGGCTCTCCTTCTGCACTCGGTCGAGTGAAAGCAGGCAGCGCAGAGAGGTGGTCGATTAAACAAAACCGTTTCAATAATTATACCAACGCGAAGATATCATATGCTCACCACCTATGTGTGAAGTACAGTGAAATTTCACTTATCCGTGTTGATTTGGGTTCCGCTTATTGGCGGAGTATATTATGCACGAAAATATCTCCGAATAAAAATTTCGATTTAAAGCTTTCGTGACTGCAGGGATTCATCTTCTTGGTTCTTTCGGTAAAGTCACGTAGAAGGGAAATAATAAAATAATACAAATAAAACATAATTAAAATAATTCTCACGACGTTTCGGCCACAACGCAAGCAGCCGTCCTCAGGTGAAGACCAGGTCTGTATTTCCCATAAATATGCTAAATTCCTCTTGATATGCAAATTATTTTGTCAAGGCGCCCTTCCCCCCTTCCAACCCAGCTTAAATATACGCTCCAAGCGTGGTGGTGTTTCATTCAGACGCTGTCTCCCCGACAGCTCTGTTCTTCACCTGAGGACAGCTGCTTGCGTTGTGGCCGAAACGTCGTGCGAATTATTTTATTACGTTTTATTTTTATTATTTTATTATTTCCATTCTACGTGACTTTACCGAAAGAACCAAGAAGATATCTCCGAATAGTCGCCAAATTATCCGTGCGTGAATTACAGATGTGTGAATTTGCCGCACTGACTAACATTATTTACTAAAAAACTACTGGATATTATCGCTTCTCGCAAGAAACTTAGACAATAGAATGAATTCAGAGCTCAGAAACCCATACCTCCATGAAGGCTTTGGCCCAGAGGCGTGACTTGATCTGTAGCACGGCATTGTGGCCGCTCTCCAACGTCTGCACCGTGCATCGTATGTGCAAGCACTCAGCCGTGCTGCAGTTCTGCGGGGAGAAGAGCCACACACAACAAACAACTATTTGATTTGGTGTTGCTAATCTGGCTTACCCTAAGGTTTTGTTTTCTCCAATATTTTAAACAAACAATTGACACTGATATTGTTTTTTTACCCTTCTATCTGGCAACAAAACTGACACCTTTTTAATATAAAAATAAAGGTGTCAGTTTTGTTATTGCCAGATAGAAGGGTACAAAACCAATTATCATATTTTTTTACTGGCAAATGAGGTTCCAATGGTGAATTGACACGGACTTTTCATTTAACCTCTGTGAGCAGCCACTGCTCATGTCCCAAGTCAAATGCCACACTTGATTTATGCTCATTGGCAAAATGTTCTTTCCTCTCCCAAGTGCTAATTTATTTTCTCACAGCAAAGGAAGCATATTTGGACATTTAAATTGAGAAAACCAGTACTGTAGTATTAATATGAAAAATACTAAACTTTAAATATGTAATTTTTTGACAATGCCATATAAGGCTGCATGGATTCAAATGTATTATTGGTGTTATTTATAAATAACAACTGCATCAGTTGCACACGACTGTTATTTCAACACAAGATTTAAAAATATATCTAACAATGTTAAGCATTACTTTTTGTTCTAGATTTGAAGTTTTCGTGACTGCAAGGATTCATACTTGCAGTCACGATTTAATTTATTTTCATTTTTTACCTACGTGACTTAACCAAAAAACCCAAAGAGTATTACTTTATGTGTAAAAAAAATATTCCTCCATGACAGCTGGCCATCATGATTAGTATACTGTGGTAATAAACACAGAAAATCATGAAATTCCGGAGGATATTTTTTTATTTTAATATGCAAACACTTTCCTCCCTTTTGATAATAATCCAGTCCGAAAACGATATACATAAAAACCACCACTCACCAATGATGAATTGGCTGATACCTGGGAAACTGAGAGGGTGGGGATTGCCTGTTTTTGTTTGTTTAATGATGCGCAATTTTTTTTTGCATGCGGGTTTTAGCAGTCAATCGTAATGCAAGTGTGGTCTTGCACACAAGCATATTCAACCACTGAAGATGCCCGCAGTGGTGCATGGTGAAAGCTCTAAAGAACAAATGCTGAAAACGCGGCCCAACCAGTAAGGCCGCACGTGGTGTTTTTGTTGGTATCGAGTCTGTGTGATTGTGCCGTTCAGGCCACGAACCAGAGTCCTGGGGGATTTTGAGTCCGCCTTCGCCACTTTGAAGCTCCCGGCGATGGATATCGCGGGGGTTCTCCTTCTGTTGGTTGCCCGTTTCATTCGCGCCTGGCGTATCGTGCGAGTTACTCAGCTGCACACACAGACACACACAAACGAATCGGCGATAAGTGACGCTTAACAAAAATAAGAAATGGTTGCTCACGGATGGCCACTGCTGACACCTTGGTTCTAATCTGGGTTTCAGCCACCCGTGATTGACTTGGGTTCTGAAGTGTGGTGCAGTTAACAGTCTCAAGCCCGGTCACTAATTCACTGCACACAAAATACGATCAAATTAATTTGATCGTTCGATCCACTTTTGCAAAATTCCAACCCTGATAAGGAAAGTGTGCCCCCTAAGTGTGTGGATAAAGGTCAATTGATTTGATTTCATGGGCTGATGCGCAGCTCAGTCAGAGATACAAATGGAATCTTGATCTTATTATAGGACAACAATCTTATAATTATTTTATTTCCCCAAGCGGATCGAAGTGTGCAAATATTATCTTGTTGGAAAAGGTAACCTAGTTTACTAAACTGGTACCAAATCCAAAAATTTAAGTGGAAACATAAACTTGACGGTGGTAAAAAAATATTGGAGGGGGGAAGCCAGGGCTCACTTTCCCAATAAATGTTCAGCGTTATCTCGAGGGGACCTGTCCTGGTTTTACCATGATTGCCTTCAAGTTGAGGTAGCTGTCTGACATTAAGATTTCAGTTTTTTTTGGAAGTTGCATAATTGCACACACCTCTCTGGCCTCTTCCAGTATTGTGAGATATTCTTATTTCCATGCTTTGTCCTGTTTTTTTAAAATCCTTTATATTAAGTTCACTTGCTTGCTTTCTTGGGCGCTTACGACCGTACAAATCTTTCGGTCGTTTTTTAACCCACTTCCCGTGATCCAATCGAGCTGACATTTTGCACACAGACTCGTTGTGCGTGACAATTTATTTTCGTGAAAAAAAATTCTAAATTTTTCCACTTTTTAGGGAAAAAAATTTTCATATTTAATTTAAAATACCAATGTGATAAAAATTAAACTCTTACTCAAGAAAAACAGAAATGAATAATAAAATAAAACCGATGCCACGCATATAAAGGATTTATAGTGAAACACTTTTTTTTACGGGTTCATTTTTTTGTACCTCATTGCGGGTAGCTGTAGCAGAGCTGTTGCTAGACACCTTAGCATCTGGGTCAAGGTGCCACACGCTTGCACCCCACCTCCACCCCTGCTGTTTCGGCACTGGCACCGCTCCACCCAAACTTTGAGCTACCAGCCGCCACTGCTTACATGGCCCTTTGATTTCGAAAAATATGGCTCAACTCAGGTGGCGGCCGCCCCCACGTTGGCTACAGCACTGAATGACCTTGAGGTTGAGGGAATCACCTTGAGGTTAAGAGGATTGATCTTGTTCGATGAGTCGGGAACACACTTAATGGGACCCTCCGTGTTCAGCGCCAGGACATAGAGGATGTAGTCGTCGTCGGATCGCAGCGGCCAGCTGAGATCCATCTCTGCAGAGCCCACGCGACTGGGCCCAATGTTACGGAGCTGCTCGCACCGATGGTCAACAGATGCATGTGGGGGTGGGGGTGGGGGGGGGCTTTAAACAAGTGAAAAACGCACGTGCTGCCAATTCCTTCCCGTTTCCCTATTGTTGTGAAATTTAGTAAAAAATATTCTATTCTCAGCAAAAAATGATTCCTGCACAGCTGTGATTACTTAACAGATGTTTTGTCTCTTCAATATGACCCATCTCTCATTATGGTGCATTTTGTTATATAGACATTTGACAGATTCAATTTAAGAGGCGAGGTAATATTAACCCTATTAATGGTGTGCTTATTTCATGCATTGTTTTTCGGATGAACGGTCCAAGAAACTGTTGCGTTTTTTGTTGTTGTAAAGTTGGCACATGTTACATGTTCACAATTATTGTGCTTGCCTTGACTTGACGTGCGTTTCTACATGTAGTAAAAAGCTATATTGATGTGAAAATTACACGAGGAAAACCCCATTATAAGAAACAAGAACCAGTGTTAACAATTGCTGTATCTTATATGACGCTGTATCTTATATTAATGTAGAGTAAAAACAGACAGTAACTCACATACATACACACAAACAAGGCAGATAACTTCCACAAACACTTCCATGAACATACAATGATAGACATGTTAATGCATTATAACATAGCACAGTTGCTAACAGTTTTAATGAAATGTATTACCTGAATACAGGTGTAGGAAATTTCAGGGAATTATATCATAACAATAAAATCCCTATGATATTTCACAGTACACTTCTCCCACCCACGAATAGAAAAATATCTGGGGAAAATGTTCCCCATATGTTACCCAGATTTTTCATCATTTCACGAAACCCTTCCCCGCTCTCTACACAAATAAATATTATACGAATGAAGACATTTTAGAACTTGTTTTGTATCCCTTACCACCTTTTTCCATTTTTTTTTTATCATGTATTTGTGGCATGTAGGCTGGCCTAACTCACTTGAGTGTGTGAATAAACGATTCATTATGAAAAGTTAGGCCAAAGGTCATAGATCATACATAGCATACCATTAATACCATAGGTCCCTGGTTCCTTCCAGTCAGAATGAACCCTTAACCCTTCCAACTCAAATTACTCCAGTAAGTGCGATAGCAGGCTGACCGACTCACAGATGGACAAATTAAGATTTATATAATGTACATAATTTAACATGTGCTGTATATCCGTGCAGAATATATTATTTTGTATTGGCGTACCTCATAAACATGCTGCACCAATGGTCCAATATCCTCTTCCTTCACAGGGTTCTCAACTGGCTCCCAGTTTATAATGGGGAGCACAATCTGATCGGGAATGGACACCCTGCGGACACAATTCACACCGAGGTGTCAATAAAATGGCATGCATGTGAATCAAAGCCATGGACATGAGCCAATAACATTTGTCATGGTGTGTCACATATGCGTGCAAAGTGCATCACCAAAACTTCCCAGACACCACAACCCAAACCTTCCACACATCATCAGAACACATGTAGTGCTAGGCGCAATTTGAGGCCACGTGAAGGGTCGAAAGCTCACTGCTGGCAGGAGGTCACGGGACAGTCCAAGGTGTTATGGGTTAACCGACTGAGATGCACTCCTGCAGGCAGTAAATGCCCACGAATAATGGTGGTAATGTTAATATAGTAGTGCATGGAGACAGCTCGATAAGAGATATGCTCAACATGCGGCCTAATCCGGAAGTGAACACTTGGATTACGAGTGACTGCGAAAACCTACGTGCTAAATCAATGAGGTTGGACAATAACACAGGGAGATTGCACAATCACAATACTGTTGTCACCAGGACCATATGGTCAAGCGCACCATGGATTTTAGTGTGGCTAACTTATGCTCTGGTGTATAACACAATTTTGCTCATCGTGTACCAAAAAACTGATATTGATCTTGTGGATGCGGTCATTCCCATTCCTAATGGTCCTGCAATGCTACTATCTCCGGCAATTGAAAGTGGACGAAACACTTTTTGATATTTTAAAGCCACCAATGCTTATCCAGCACAGGTATTGCGCTTGTAAATGTAGAGCTCTTTTTGTTAATCCACTGCTGGATGAGGGTGACCCCCATGCCCTGCAGATTTGTGGGAATTATAAAGCCATCCTTGGCCAGGCTGCTAAGTGCAGGTCGGCGAAGGAGGGGAGCATATGTGGAAGCCTAGAAGCACAGTACAACAATGTCTTTCGCAACACTGCCCTCTGCTACCCATCACCTTGCCTCGCAGCCTACATAAACCTGTTGTGTATGGCGGTCGCCAATCCTAGCATTATCTAGGCTGAAACCTGATTCGCTTCAGTTTAATACGTAGGCTTTCACGACCAATATTATCCACAAGAGGTTTTTGGGTTAGATCGTGTAAATGTGTCCTTAAACCGGCCACCACCCGACACAGCCAATTAGTAAGGTTTGTCTCGTAAACAAAACGTGCCAATCTGTTACCAGTTCAGCACACCGGAGTGTTGGAGAGTAAACCCACAATATTTACAATTCGCGGAGAACGTTTCGCCAGCAATTACAACTGGCATCATGAGGTTGGGTTCATTTCAGGTAAAATTTCGGTCACACACGTAGGGAGCGTGATATACTCACCCAACTAGATTCACTTGTGCGAACACTCCTACCGGCAGCACGACCGTCTCCGTATTGCTCTCTGGGCTCTTTTCATTGGAGCTGTAAAAAAATCAAAGAGGATTATTACTTCGAGTGAGTACTTTCTAGTGGTGACTTATTTTGTTTGAAGTGTGTGAGCTAACTGCCAGCGTGATTTCTAAACACCGCATCTGCCACCACACACATGTGCAACCGCAAAGAAAGTGCGTTCCAGCTCAGCACTGTGCGAGCAGGGAGTGTGTGAACAAAACAAAAGTTATGAACCACATAGTTCACGTGTACGGACTGCCTCCCGTACTTTTTGGCCTAACAAACTTAATGCACGGCCAACAATTCGGCCTCCGTAGACAGGTTAAGTTTATTCGTAACCACGTAGGAGACGGTTAAAACTGTCTATTTTCAAAAGCACTCTGTAGTTTAAATAATTACAGAAAATAAGAATGTGTAAACAAAACAATGCAATAACACAGCATTTGCAAAATGTACAATCCAAGCAAGATGAGACAAAACAATAATTGACTTGCAGTGGTGGAGAGCCTTTTTTCTCCCGAGGGCAATTTGGATATTTATAACATCATTCGCGGGCCATACAAAATTATCAACTTAAAAATTAGCCTGTTATATTTGGTCAAACATTTAATAACTCACCCCTAATGTGATGGCTGGAACTGCTTCTCTTTGGTGAGGCGTGTGATGTTAGTTGGTATTGATGATGTTGCTACTCGCAACTGCTTTTCCAGGTTTGCTCCTAGATTTATTGAATTTCGAGTCCCGCCTGCGGTTGCCTTGGCAGGGCCAGACCACATTATTTCGCGGGCCTTGTACGGCCCGCGGGCCGGACGTTCCCCACCCCTGCATTAGTGGGTGAAGGCCTTCCTACTCAGCCGCCATCCAAGATGGTTCTGAGGTGCCACAATCCACCACACTTATAAATTCTAATATAAATAATACATATTAAACAATACACTTACAAATGTATTATTTTTTAATGGAAGGGTCAGACACTTCTACAATCTGGGTGGTAGACCAGAATAATGATGCATCTACTAACAATTGAAATTCCATTAAAACGTGAATTACATCATGTGTATATATGTTTAACTTCTTTTGCACTGTACGTAGCCAACCATGCGTGTGCCAGGCTAGGTGCACCTTGAGACAGTAAACAATGTATTACTTCAATTGCTATATTTTGTATGTAATGGGTTCGCATCATCCCTGAATCTCCTTGAGGTACTTAAGTCAAATGTTAATGCTGAACCATAACAATCCACCAAAATGAAAAGTGGGGGAGATTCGTTAAACACTTAGAAAAAATAGCATATTTATATTTGTCACTGAGCCCTCTAACATTCATGTGGCTTCACCAACACGTTGTTCTGGGATTGGTACCTCTTGATATGGAGGCTGAATTGAATGGGCGAGACAGCCTCCTCCAGTCGCTGAACGCTGAATCTCAGTCCAACCAGCAGCTGGAGGAATAGAGTGAGGACAGATTGGAGAGAAGCGAGCGTCACATGGCCCGACTGTCTGTTTATCAATGTGAGAGGATTCTCATACAGTCCGGGGTACCACAGTGGCGATGTTAACTCCCTCACCTGGTATACAGGAGGTCATGGGCTCGATCCCGACCCTGACACCTGTATATTTAGAGTTTGCATGTTTCTTCCCGTGGTCGAATGGATTTTTCTGCGGGTCCTCCGGTTTTTACCTCCACATTTAATAAACATGCGTTAAGAGTATTTGGCTGCGATAATTTTCCACGTGATAAGCCACTTTGTTGCACTATCATTTGTGGCCTGGTCGCTTCTGAAAAAGAGCTATATAACTCAGTGGGCATTACCCAGTAAAATAAAAAATAGTTTTATAGTAAATAGTCCGTTCCCACTCACGCAAACATCTACGCCAATTCGAATGCACGTATAATAAAATGCACGGCCTAAATGGATTTCAATAAAAACAATTAAACAATGACACAATGAATAGTGCACCCATATGCCACGCTTAAACGTAGAACACCCACACAAAAAATTGTTACGCAAGTTATACTCTTGCCTGAAAATAAGACAGCTGGCTACATCCGTCAGTCCGTATTTGTTTTAGGATTCCCATCTGGTTCAATTTAAAGTAGTTTGTGGCGAGTACGGCACAAACGGCTTCCCGCTATCACGCGCGATGCCGGGGCAAAAGTCTTTGGACGCGTGGAGCCTTACGTTGGTGCCTCCTCTCATTGGGTTTCCCAGATCACACACCACACTGCGGGTCAGGTTTTCTGTCTTGTACGCACACGTGAGCTTGGCAAGAGACTGTGGATGAGATGGAAACAAAAATACTTTGGTTAAGACGGCCATGTTGCAGAACACGGCAAAGTTTAATTTTTTAAAAGAGTGCAGCCCTCGTTCATCAGCCGTTCTGGTTTGTAAGACGATTTAGACAATTGTTTTGATAATCTCATGCGGAGAAGGTTTATGTAAACGACATAGATTATTTAAATTGGGTACCAGTATGCAAACACTGTAACACACCAAATTAACGACATCATCTGCAAGTCGTTGCTAAGACAAACAGAAATGCCAAAGCCTGATGAAATGCATAATCGGTAACATAACATGGTCTTTAAAACTGGATTCGAAACAAATGTATGAACACAAACATCAAATCCCTTGTCTATGACATGACGATGGAATCATGATTTATTTTGAACTGTTGCTTTTTGTATGTCACAGTCTTTTAGAAAGACAATTTTCTGACGTTTCATAGCTGTGTTCAACGTAAATGCATAACTAAAAAATATACTTCTGGAAATGATATTCCTATCGTGTAATTGGCATTGTGTGATTAGCTGAATACATTTATATTCCCAAATTTCAATGTGAGCAGTGCCCTTCTGTGTGTCAGGGAACATCCTCGGAGATGAAGTCACAAAACTACACTTAAATAGCCCTCTTTAGATTTCACTGAGAGAGGAATACGTGGATCAAAGAACAAATACAAAGTATAGACATCACATTCACTGTCAAAGAAACTAAGTGGGCTTTGGTAGAATACGTCACTAAGAAGGGATGTTGGCCAATAGACGAGACTGGTGATGGAATGACAGTCAATGGAGTGAACATTCCTGGGATGACAACTACTTTGTGCGGGAGGTTAGAACGAGTGTGGCATCGCAAGACTATGAGGAATGGTGACAGTATTGGAAGACCGTTATCCAGCAGTGGTTTGACCATAGCTAATGATGATGATGATGGCAAACACAGTCAGTGTTTGTCACGTGACAATCAAGCTACAATTTTTTTTATTTTAGAAGCTGAAATGAGATAAGTTTAAACAGTTATTGATGAATTATGAAAAGCAATATTCGTAACTCAAAAGTGGAATTGCGTCCTAGCATACTGAAATGTGCCAATGAACCAAAACATGTTAGCAATTATACCAAATCATGTACCTAACACAGCTGGAAAGCAACCAAAGTTGTGTTAACCAAGTCTTATACTCCCAGGCCAGAGGGGGGTGGGGGGGGGGAAATGGCAAAAAAAAAACTGCTCCTATTTCCACGTTGGAGACAGCTGTAACACAGTGCAGATGGCAAAGTTTCACCTAATTATAATAATTATTTACAAGATTCTTGTACAATAACCTACGTAAATATATATAATATAGGTTGCTTCCAAGAAAATACGTTGTGCTCATGTTCTTGTGCTGGCAAAGAATGCGAGCGAACAAAAATACACGGCAATAAATATGACGTGAAGTGAAAGCCCAGCCGCCGATTCAGCTTTCATACCTTAATCGGTCTTAATGACCATCTTACTCGCAAAAAAATTACTGACTTTTTACTTTTGCCGACTCCTAAAAAACAGTGGTAAAAAAGTATGAACATGATCGTTTACAGCCCTTTGGCACTCGACTACTGGACGAAGGCCTCCCCACACCAAGTCAGTGATGATGGTTGTTTTGCCATATTTCATCACACTGGCCAATGCGGGTTGGTACAGTACGGCAAGTTCTGATATTATGCACCACTGATATTGGGTCATAGATTGAACTTAAACTTGGGTCGCAGGGTTTAAAGAACGGTGCAACTAACCACTCCACCTCCACTCACCGCCATTAATAAAACTATCCAAAACGTCTGTATTATTAAGACATTTAAATCAAGGTCGGACAAGGTGTTTATGGCTTACAGGAATCTACTGAAACAAAAACGTGCATTTAAAAACTAATTTCTGTATAAGAATCTTGACAAAGTGTCTCTTTCTCCGACACTCAATGAAAAATTGACAATTGCCGAAAAGCACAGAAATATACACACACATTTAAATACATCTCGCCAGTGTGGATGAGTAGGCCAAATACGCTCTAGAGCAGTTCTCTAGAGCTCCCTGGATTCAATACTTTCCATTAGCAGTGGTGAGTGTGAGCACTTGTGAAAACTGTACATTTATCTTCTACGTAGACTCAAGAATGTTTTTTTGTTAAAGGGGCTACGATCATCTTTCGTCCACCATTAAAAATATAAATCAAGAAATCACCACGAGAACAAATGCTCAGGTCACGTCAGCCCGATGACGTGACACCACACTCCCGCCAGTTCGGCTGGGAACGAGCGAACGAGCGAGGGCCTGTTTTGCCAGATGGGTATTATTTAGGGTTTCCTGTGGCGGCCGGCTGTAATCATTCACGCCGTGACAGCAGAACACGGCCGATGCTCAGGGGACGCTGTACCCGCCACCCAAGCTATCCGGCACCGTGCCGCAGGAACACGGCACGCGGGTCAGAACTTCACAACGACTCTCCAACAACGAGGGCACCGCCCCTCTTCGTCACCGCAAAAAGCACTCTTTTGAGAAGAAAGCCCAACGGATCGAAAGGCATTTTTAAACAATGTCCGGATTTACTGTCAAAGAGTAAAATAGGCAGCGGCAGGAATGAGCGTGTAAATCATTAGTTTCGGGAGAGACCCTACCGGCAGCTATTTAAAGATGTGCCTGCTTCGTTGGACCGAACTGCACTGATAAAAGGTTCAGCCCTGCTAGCGGACGGGCCTCCACTAGAAGGAACTCTAGAAGGTACCTTAACCTACTCTTCCATGCTGCCTGGAAGTGTCGGAAGAGGGTGGAGTAAACGCTCACTGTAGCCCGCCGAATGTGGCCTACCAATCGACTGTTTGTGGTGTTCCCATTCACATTGCTGGGTGGACAGAGGTGTAACCGAAGCTATGGCTGTTCAACATGTAACATCTCGTCCCCTCCCATCCAGTTGGATCCATGCAGTAATGTTGAAGCGCTTGGGGAAAAAGGCGCGTGTAATTTAAAACACGCGTGCGTGCACGCACGCAACATGCGGGGAGGTGTAATTAAATTAGAACGTCATTGAGCTCATTCATCTTTCAACAATCTAAGGTTACAAAACATATCCACGCCCCTCAGATCGGAAGTTTGATTTCAATTCACAGGAACATGATAACTGATTTTAAAAAACCTCAGGCAAAAAGAACGAAATGACCAGTGATCGCATAACTGCTGGAAAAACAAACACTTCACTTTGATGTGCTAGACAAGCCACGTTCAGGCCCATTACTTAAAAAGGTCTGCACTTTAAGAAATTAATTTATACATATATACAAACAAAAACAAACATTCCTCACGTAACCTACACTGACTGTTGGTATTCTTAGTGAGTACTGTTAGCGAGCCCCTATACACATATATAAACACATACATTTCATTCATGAGTAACATCAATCATGTACGCTGCTGTTTTGCTTTAAATATAACCATAAACTATTCATTGTAAAACATGCTTTTCCTTACGGATCTGTCTTCAGAAACGTGTTTACATTTTGTCCCGTAATATGTGAACACGTGAGTGCAAAACGTCCCACTGGACCGCGTGGAACCCTGCAAGTGTGCCTGCGAGAGAATGTGTGCGGGAATAAGTTATTCCTGTGCAAGTGATATATTTGGTCTGTAAAGGACCTTAAAGTAGATTTCTACGAAAGAAACTATATAAATGTTCAAATGATTATTTTTGCAGTATTAGAGGTTGTGCACGTATGCGTGTGTGCATTTAGCGTGAAGCGTAGGGTAGTGGTTAGCACTCTGGAACTCGGTGACCCGAGTTCGATTTTTGCTCACGGCCATCAGTAACGATTATCTGCATCAGTCCCGGACCTGCCCTTGGCAGACTCAGCTTTAAATGAATATCTGATACAGTGTGGTGCTGGCCACCCACCCCCTCGTGTGCCATGCTGACCTTCACAGGTACTCGTTAACAGTACTTGCCTTACTATTTGGTTCTTTCGGTAAAGTCACGTAGGTAGAAAAATAATACATCACGACGTTTCGATCGCAACACAAGCAATCGTCATCAGGTGGGACAACCACAGCAAGAAAAAACTGCTGAAGTAATTTTTCTTGCTGTGCTTGTCCCACCTGATGACGATTGCTTGTGTTGCGATCGAAACGTCGTGATCTATTATTTCTCTACCTTCGTGACTTTACCGAAAGATGGAACCGTCACAGCACGATAGCTGTATCAAGTAAGATACAGCTATTGTGCTGTGACGGTTCCACCTGAAGACGGAAGCTTGTGTTGCCTCCGAAACGTCGTGATTTTTATTTTTATTTTACTTTTATTAATTAACATTTTTTATCTATGTGACTTTACCGAAAAAACCTAAGAATATGAATCCTTGCAGTCACGAAAGCTTCAAATCTTGAATTTACCGAAAGAACCAAAGAGTATGGACTCCTGCAGTCACGAAAGCTTCAAATCAAGATAGTACTTGCCTTGACAGCCTGTTCAGGCTATACGGGGGGGGGAATCTTTGTGGTGGTGCAGTGGTTAGCGGGGAGGGCATTCCGCACGATCCGGTTGACTCGCTCATTGGGGGTCATCTTTGGGAGTTCTGTGCGAAGGAAAGGCGATTCGTTGCCGGCACCTCGTTATTCCGGACGACGCCGACGTAATCGGCCTCGGGTGGCAGGACCACGTGGAGCTCCGCCTCGTAGGCGCCCTCCCCGTCGTTGCGAGAGTTCACCGTGAGCACCAGGGAGTTCTCGTCGCCGATGTACAGCTGCTTCCGGTCTCTGTGCAACCAGGGCCACGGTAAAAGGCGAACAAGGTGCGGCTCAACACATCGCTCGCACGAGTCGGGATTAGACGTGGCAAAACGCGCCCCCGTACGGGCAGACTAACGCCTGATTGCAGGCCAGGTAACCGAGTCACCTTGAGACCGGCTGACACTGGGGGTGCCCTTTGAAAGGTTTGACATGAGATGCGAGTCGCTTACGGGGCGTAAAGTGCCCCGCACGATGCCTCATCATAAAGGGCGCTTTATCAAAAACGGATCGTTATCTCACTCCCCTGCTGGTGTACGGTTCCGCCCATTACACCTCCAATTCGCACCTCCCATTACTGTGGATAGCTACGCTCGGTGCGAGAGAAATTCAGCAACCATACAAATACTGTACAGTGTCTAAGTCCAAACGCGTGAGGGAGCTCTACAGAGCCCCCACCCCCTCAAAATGGGTATTTTTGGCCAACTCTTGCTAGTTGTGCAGCGATTCAGCGCTTGAATCACAGCACCACTCTCAGTATTCAGACATAGGCTCTAAACTTTACTGGATATGAGTATTGAGCAAAAGGGTATGATAGTCTAGGTAAAGGTGCAGCCCTGCAATTACTTGTTCACATCACTGCTGGCCAGCCTCGACTAGAGGAGCACTAGACAGCCCCTCTAGCCAGTAATTTGGCCTACTCTTCCACACTGCTCAGATGTATTGGAAGAATGGGATTGGCCAAAAGTTTACCCTATTACACATGACCGTCCAATGGATTAACTGTGGTACCACCCATTTATACTGCTTGGTGGACAAGAGGTGGTCGGATTTAAGGAACTTGGCCCATTGTTCAACTGCCGTGCTGGGAGATCAAACCAGTGACCTCTGGATTGCACGTTCAGTGTGCTAACCATTAGAACACAACAGTACCCCTTGGGGAGCCACAAAGAGACATAAACAACAAGGAGGCGATGGGAGGGAGGGTGGATGAGGCAATGTTCCTTCCACCCGCACTGGCAGAGCCTCAAGAACGGTGCGGGAGCCATGTTAGCGAAACCTTGTTTTTGCGAGAGAGAAAAAAGAATTGACTGCCCAATTACATCATTCATATTCGAAGGTCAACATCGTTGGGCACGTACGTATAGTTACGGCTCAACATTTTTAAAGATGTTAATGAACATGCTTATATAAACAAAACATCGTGATATTTTTCTTTATATATATAACAAATGTGAGCTGTCAGCTTATCAAATGAGTGCACGTTTTCACAGTTGTGCCTGCATGGTTTTCCAATGTATTTTTAGTTCCTGAAGAAGCTCCGAGCAAACGGAACGAAACCTCGGACATCGTAACAAAACAACATGTGGGACATCCCAAAAACCCTTTTGAGAGTTATCAAACTGTGCATTTAGAACATTCATTAGTTCACCATCAATTTATTAATTTTGTCTCATTGAAGAAATGGATGCAAGTGAGATTCGCAGTACTCACGACAGAGCCGAGAGCTTGAGAGATGGCACGCAAATGTTGTCTGACCCACAGTCCAGAAGTATATGAGCCTAAAAGGAGGACATGGGAGTGATGTTAGATTTTAACATAGACTACCTCCTATATAAGAACGGGAGACACAGCAGAGCCTCACCATTCTGGCGAATTGCCCAATGATGCTGGATGCAATTACCAGCGAAACGTCGTACTCAAATTGTAAATTGTTGTGGTTTCACGCTTCAACACACCGGTGGGCTAAAGCAGTGAACTAATTGTCTTTTGTCAACGTGACACTTTTTTACTGATTGGCCGTGTCGGGTGGTGGAGGGTTACGACACATTTATAAATAATGCGATCTAAACCCCCCAAAAACGTTGATTATGAATAGACTACCTCCTCTCTGATCACAGTCATTAAACAGAGCAGTCAGACTCACTACTAATTGCATCCATCAATATGTTTAAGAGCAACGGGGTCGGCAAACCTCCCACTCCGGAGCTGTATGCGACTCTTTAAAGGCCGCTTTGTGACGTTTAGAGTTTTTTGTACCGAATTGTATTGAAAAAAAAAGGCTCTTCTTGTTGTTTTGGTGTCCGACCACTGTTTTAGAGCGTCAAACTTTATATTGATGAAGATGTTTTATTTGCCCAGAAAATCTACAATGAGTCTCAAGCCCCGTTGTATTTTTTTTCGGATTGGCAAATTCTAATTTTCTTTGGAAAATTCCATGAATGAGTGTTTAGCACGTGGGAGGAAACTCCAGTACTTAGAGAAAATAACCATGTGCATGAGGGTAACGCTCAAAACATATAGATTCAAGAACCATTGGTGTATTGCATTCTCTTGGCCACCTCACACAGTCCAAGCAGACATTTGAATGAAGAGAGACAAAATGATTACACAGTCAGAATATTAAAACTGAGAATCATAATATTGCCCGCGACAAACCTATGTATGATTCAGGCTACGGCTTTGCCACGGTAGTAATTTGTCATTAAAATTTTCCCCAAATGTTGGGGAAAAAAAACAAATTGGCAGAAAGGTCAGGGAATAAAGTGGGACAGTGCCCCCTCTCCCTCCACCCTCATCCTGACCTCCCACAACATCTCACTGTGGTGAAATGTTATCTCATTTCCCTGGTATGCAGGAGCTTGTGGGTTCGATCCCCACCCTTGACGCCTGTGAATTTGAAGTTCGTGTTCTCTTCCTTGTGTTGGTCCTGGTGGTTTTTTTCTCCGGGTCCTCCGGATTTTCCCTCCTACAATTATAAACGTGCATTGAGTTTATTTGGCTGCTACTATTAATCCCCACGTGTGATGATGGGTGGCTCAGGTCACCTCTGAAATGAACCAATAACTCAGTGGGCTTTACTTGGTATCATAAAAGTAAAGTTTAGCAAAGCATTATAGAATTATTTAAAGGAAATCAGCGGCGAGCCAAACCCAATGTGTTTCCATACCACCACCCCATTCCCCTAATCTTTCATAGACTCTTTCCCCTGACCGCCGTGACCTCCGTGACTAAACCATAGCCTTCGTTACGATCCAATTTCAAAACAGGTACCCACAATTTCGATTTAAAGCTTTCGTGACTGCAGGGATTCATCTTCTTGGTTCTTTCGGTAAAGTCACGTAGAAGGGAAGTAATAAAATAATAAAAATAAAACATAATAAAATAATTATCATGATGTTTCGGCCACAATTCTCACGACGTTTCGGCCACAACGCAAGCAGCCGTCCTCAGGTGAGGACGGCTACTTCCCTTCTACGTGACAAAAACGAAAGAACCTAAGAAGAGGTACCCACAACTCGCGTGCATCGAACCTGCTTCTGGATGTGGTCGGGGCTGAAGTGGTTGCGGATTGGCCGCAGCCCCTGAGAGGCTGAAGTCGCCTCCTCCATGAGCGTGTAGTTGAGGCTCACGGCGATAGGCGTCAGCTTGTCCCGGAACTCCGTCTCGTCCTGTGGCGAAGGTTGGGTGCCACACATGACAGAGATGTGAAATGAGAATGCATCTGCCATCATTTCCCCAGTGATAATGCGAGCACAGCCAGGGTTCTTAATATAATTACGACAGAAAGTCTGTTTCGACGCATAAACTAAAATTTTTTACTTTTGTTGTCTCTCCAGTGTGTTTCAGGGTTGTCGTGAAAGTGTATTTATTATTTCGATTTAAAGCTTTCGTGACTGCAGGGATTCATCTGCTTGGTTCTTTCGGTAAAGTCACGTAGAATGGAAATAATAAAATAATAAAAATAAAACATTATAAAATAATTCTCATGACGTTTCGGCCACAATGGCTGCTTGCGGCTGCTTGCGTTGTGGCCGAAACGTCGTGAGAATTATTTTATTATGTTTTATTTTTATTATTTTATTATTTCCATTCGACGTGACTTTACCGAAAGAACCAAGAAGATGTATTTATTATGCTTGTATCCCCAGCCTCACTGAATATCAGTAGGGGGCGACGATTGGTATGTATATTCCAATTGAATTATGATTAGTGGTACATTTTCAACTGTGGCAAACATGGGCATCGACGCCAGCACGCACAATGGCCTACTCTTGCAAACGGCCTACTTTGGCAAAGATCTTTAACATTCACTGTGAAGCAGTCGGTGCATATATTTTGTTTCATACAGCCACAATAATAACTAGAGCGGCCGTTGGGTTTGAACTATGAACCTCTGCGATAAGCGGCCAACGCCGAATTGCTAGGTCACGTTATCACCCAAAGTGGTTGCTGCATTTCAGTTCCTGTAGAAGGCTCACAGCACATGGCGTAAAATATTAGCTATAATGCCGAACAATACTTGGTACAACCAGAAAAACGCTGAGGTGAGCTATACAGCACAATGGAGAAAACCTATGCAGTAGAACGTTTATTTAAATTCTGTCGGCCTATGGGACTTCACGCCTAAGTTTTACAGCAGCACGAAATGTGTTTACGCAGGCAATCTCTGGACTGGTTTCCACCTGCAAGGTCTCATTAGCTGCATCAGGCTTGTTGAACAAATACTGCTGGGTTGTGAGATGTTACCGCAAACAGCACTCCAAGAAAACTGTGGGACCCGTTTTGTGATTTTTTTTTTTACTCACCGTATCAGTTCTACGATTTGTATGCAAACAGGAACCAAGCTCGGTAAATAATTAATGGAATTTGTTAGCAGTGGTGCACAGGCATAAATAAAATAAACTCACCAGGTTCAATGTTAACAGTGCAGTGCCCAAAAATATTCTTTTAATTATTTACAAAATCTATATGCCATGACTGTAACAATGAACTTCATTATATTTTTGTTTCATTTGTACTCATTTTAGGCTGAGTTAATCTAGAGGATGTCCAATAATTGGACAGTGAATAAGTTGTTGTCTGGAACAAACCCATGTTTTCTTGGATCACTGTGCAGTGTTCTAACCACATCACTCCCCACACACTTATGGACATACCACATGCACGTATATACGTAAAAATGACCCTCCGTCATGTAGTCATTCAGATTGTATGGTAACGTGCTGTTAGCAAGCATCTATTAAGGCCAGTCGAATGTTTAATGGGGTGGTCTGCTCAGCACCACGCATGGCTGCCTGTGCCTCACTGATGCTGATGTTTACACACTGCACAAGATACTCACTGAAGGTGCAACAGCCTAGGGGAGTTCCAGGACTGGTTCAAATATCGCTTGTCACTAAGGTAGCTCTGCTCAGGAATCAAACAACAGCACACAACACCACCTAAACTCCCCCTTACCACATCAGCCAATATCCTCTCGAGTCCGTGCCGCAGCCATTTAGCCCCAACTATCCAACCAAACGTAAGCTGCTTTGGGGGCATGCAGTGCTAGGCATGTAGGTTACATGACAACTTCGCCTGCCGGAGGAACTCACTGATATGACTGCATCCAACGCTTACAAGGATCTGTAAGTTCTTCATGAACTCCAGCCAGTAAACCCAGGATGAATCGTATTCAGGCAAGCCTGAATGTTTAAAGCTGGTGTAAGTGTTCTTGTAAAGGGGTCCACTTTATGCAACCACAGAGAAAACGGGGGCATAATGAGCACACGCACACACACATACACGCCAGCTCCTGTGCATGTCGTTCAGAGCAGTACTTACACGAAGGTGCACGGTGAGCTTGTTGCAAGTGGGGCCTGCTCCTTTGTTGATGGTGATGCGCTGCTCATATCGTGACTGCTGCGTCAAGGCGAAGAGAGCCCTCTTGATGGTGCCCTTTTGCTTCAGCCGGTCCAACTGCAGCTCCAGGTTAAGCTCTGCACATGGTGGTGCCATCAGAGGAGGTGGAGGAGTGGTCACTTGGGTTAATACACGAGGTGGTTAGCTAAGCTTAGAAAAAAGATAAAAGGTGCAGCACTGCGATTGCTTACCAACACTACTGCTAGCACGACCCTCGTCTAGAGGAATCTCTAAGGAGCCTACTCTTCCACGCTGGCTAGGTGTCTAGAAAGAGGTGGGAGAAGTCACGTAGGTGAAAATAATCAAAGAAAATAATAAAGTGAAAACAACTAAATTAAATCACGACGTTTCGGATGCAACACAAGCGTCCTTCATCAGGTGGGGACCACCACAGCGAAAACAGTTGCTGAGGTATGCCAAAGAGATGGCTTTGACAAGGTAGGAGAATTCACACTTTGACCCATGACACGTGACCTTGCCAATCGACTGTGGTGTACCCATTCATACTGGTGGGTGGGCAGAGGTGGATGGATCTAATAAGCTTGCACATTTTTCTCAAATGTTGCACCGGGAGATTGAATTGATCTCTAGTTTCCAATCACGCTGTGGTTACAATTATACAAACATTATAATGAATAACCATTATTGTTTACAATCCTTTGGTTAGCAAATGCTGGATAAAGGCCTCCCAATGCTGTGTTGGACACGGGGGTTGTTTGACCATACTACACTGGTCAGGTTGGTGAAAAGAGGACACAGGATAGGTGCAGATTTCACTGACGTTAGCCCTGGCTGGGAATCAAGCACAAGTCTCGAGTTTTGTAGTCCAGTGCGTGAATCGCTGCTCCACCACACCACCCCACAGCTAGCTTCGTGGGCTCAAGTCCGCGTTAGGGGAAATTAGCTGCCAATGCCGATGCCCTGTGTTTGAATCCAAAGTTTCAGCTACTCAAAATTAAACCAGGTTCTCATGCTGCACTAAGACGATGGTCTGGGTTTATTTTGCCATACACATTATATTTTCTATGCTATATTCAGAAAATTATTTATCTTGGGTCTCAAGATTGTTCAGGTTTGGTAACTTCCTTTTAAATGAGTGTTGTGCTTCATGTGGCGGAGACTGGAATGACCTGGCCCAGCTTTGAGGGCAAAAAATGGAAGGTAAAAATAGCCCCCATAAATGTTACTGATTGACAAGCATGCCTAACTTGGCTAAATTCCAGCTCTGAGAATTAAAACATCTCTGTGATTACCACGCGATGAACATTACTGTCCATATGCAGAGCAGGTGAGAATTTTATACCCTCTAAATGTGTGGACAAGGGTTCACTTTGAAGGGCTCTCAGAAGTAGATTTGCGACATCTGCTTCACACAGATCATTCTCTAACACAAGAGTTTTGCATTGCTCTGCGAGACTTGATCTCATGAGACGATGCTAATAGCACAATCGGATACGATTGGGGTACTACCATAACAATTATTTGAACGATTGACACGCAGCATCAGAGAGTCATATAGCTTCATCAAATGTAGAGAACCGCTCAATCCGATTGAGTAACTGTCCACTGCACAAGCACGGCTAATTCATGCGTAAGCTCATCGTCCCATGTCTCACCCGTGGAGGATAGAGCGCCTTTGCCTACGACTTGCACGCAGTAATTCACCGTGAAGCTGTGACGGGAAAGAGCAGAGAGCAAGTCAGCGTTAAGTGTCGTGAATTCGGCGACACGAATGTACAACCGCCAGCACCCCCCTTCCCGCGCCGCTGCGACCGTAATTGCCTCGAAGCACGGGGAAGTAATGAGGTTGCTTTTAAGTGGCATGCTTTTGGGTGACATTGTGGACAATATAAAAATCGATAAGCAGCAAGTCGCCAGCCAATTTAACGTGCCCGGGGATTAATACATCATGGCAGGAACAGCAATTGAGTATTGATCGGATGTCGTTGTGGCACATGTATTGATTAGAGTTGAGAAAAAATGTATTATAAATCAGTTCCGTTTTACATGAAATCCAATTAACTGCCTAAAGTGATGGGATAAAACAAACATGTTTTAAAGGTTGGGGTTTTAAAAAAGAAAACATTATTGGTTATAGTTTAAGAAATACTTAAATGTACTTTTCATGATACTTTCATTATGAGACCTTTATTGCCTTTTGAGAAGCTACACTGGGAAAATGAATTCCACACAGCATTGGCTGTCAACTTATTATCAATGAATTTGGTAACTTCAATATCACTGGAAATTGCATTCATATATATTATCACGCGTAATAGGACAATCATTTCTGGCAGAAAATGGTCGTGATTGCACGAGTGATACCATTCACCACCAACATGAGCAAATCTTGAGATGCAGTCACAGTTAAATGCAGAGTATTTTAGGTTCATCTTCTTGGTTCTTTTGGTAAAGTCACGTAGAAGGGAAGTAATAAAATAATAAAAATAAAACATTATAAAATAATTCTCACGACGTTTCGGCCACAACGCAAGCAGCCGTCTTCAGGTGAAAAATGAATGAAACACTGCCATTCTTCACCTGAAGATGGCTGCTTGCGTTGTGGCCGAAACGTCATGAGAATTATTTTATTAGGTTTAATTTTTATTATTTTATTACTTCCCTTCTACGTGACTTTACCGAAAGAACCAAGAAGATGAATCCCTGCAGTCACGAAAGCTTTAAATCGAAATTTATTTTAGGTTCCATGAGTTTCAGCCATCAATGAGAATACTGCCCAAATCAATACAAAGCAGCCATGTCCACTCCATTGGATGGAGCCACAGAAGGCTGGAACCCGCAGGGCTGCAGTGCCTCTTAGGAAAGGCCACCGCACCTCCACAGCAACAATGCACGGGCACTGTTTGCAGTGGAGCCTGTGTGGGACGATAAGAAGCTCCTGTACCATGCGAAGGAAGATGTGCTCCCAGCCTGTTTGCAGTCCTTGCTTTCCAAATTAATGATCTGTGGTTCGAGCTGAAGTTCTGCTTCCACTGTTACCACCGGACGTGCCCTGTGCAAGAGTGTAAGCACAAACACATTCTTAAACATTTTGATTGAAGGGTCACAATTTATTTCTGACTCCCTGTTCAGTGAACGTCAAAGTCCCTTGCATCACGCGTAACGTTTAAAATCTCACCACAGTCGAACTCAACGCTGGGGTCACATGGTGTGTCACGTGATTATTTCTTCAGACACCTTGGGTGTTGCCCCCCCCTCCCCCCTTTCCTTCGCTCTAATCCTGATGTCGCTGCTATTTCGCTTCTAGTTTAGTGAACGGTCAATATTTCAATCTGGCGGTACATTCACTTTTGACATCGCACTCAGGTGAGGCTCAAGTCGCCATTACGTTGATTATTATTGTTCAGTGATCCAGTGTGGAATGCACCTTAATTGACATAGGATTCTAACAAACAACCATTCTTAATGCAATACATTAACCACTGCGTCATTCAATATGAGCCGGAGGTGCAATACAAAAAACACTCACCTGTACACTATAGCCTTGGAAGCGCCAAAAGCACCCACAACAAGATCTGAAATTACAAACATTTCCTGACATTTAGACAATTTTCTTGGTAGCACTTAATCATTCTATAACCAATGTAAAAAAAACAATGTAACGCGAAAAACATCTCTCTTTTGTGTATACCTTAGCTCTGCCGTCATCCGGTGACGCTACTTTGACAACATTCTAGCTACCGGAGGCCTTGATAGAAAGCTTTGGTTTATGTAGTGAGGATAGAGTGAGTTGTATGAAATGAGAGAGGGAGAGCTGGGCAGGGTAAGTCTGTGGAGGATGTTGAAAAGACCCACAACTTAACCTTTTCCTGTTCCAATGACGCACGTCAGCAGTTTTTCTTCCGATTATGTACATGTATGCATGTGTACATCATCGGCACGAAATCTTAAGTAAAAGGCCATACAGGAGGGCGTGTGGCACAGTTTGGCCTCAGCTATCAGAGTGCGGTTGTGTCACTACGGTTCTCAACGCTTGCGCGTTCAGAGATTCAACGGTGAGCGGGACCCCCACCCTGCAACGAACTTGCAGATATCTCGGAATGGGGAAGAAGTTAATTATAGGACCCCCAGGTTTCCCTTTGCATAACAAACACATAAACTCGGTGGCCTCTCAACTAGTTGTATGAAAGGTGCCGCACCACGCAAGTCACCTGGGTATCCGTTTTTGTCCACATCGACTGTGCCGCGCAAGGCGTAACCGAAGCTGGAGGGCATGCTAGTCCCTGGCCACCGGCTCTCCAGCACCTGCGAAGGAACTGGCTTCAGCCCATCCTTGTCGCCGTTGTAGATGTACACGAGACCCTGCCGGTTCTCTCCGCCAAAAGGGATCCCGACCGCCACATCTGCCAAAGGAGAAGAAAGAAAAATAATATTAATCTAACCTATATAATTCATTTTTTGTCTGTCTGTGTGTGTCTGTCTGGGTGTGGACGAAACTTGCGAGGGATTTGGCTCGCAAACCGTGGGGTTTACGTTTAAAAAAAGTAGCCAGGTACCATGCCATAAGCCCCGTGGTGAACCAGCGCTATTTCATCTTCGCATCCTACCCAATGTGTGCAGTTACGACTATAAAGTTGGTAGATGCTACTACTATAGTCCGTAGATAACTACTGTAGAGCGGGCGGGGGGATGGTGGGAGGGGGGGCCGGGGTAGCAGCCCAGCCCCAGCCTACCAAGGTGCCACCTCAGCTGGCTGGCCAATCTAGGCGAGGCAGGGGACTCTGCATGGGACTAGGCCTCACCACTACACTCTGTGAAGTGAGTACTATTACAGAGTCGCTATATACTATTCTAGAGTCGGTATATACAACTATAGAGTGGGTACATACTACTGTAGAGTAGGTAGATACTACTGTAGAGTTTGTAGGTACTGCTATTGTAGAGCGGGCGGTGGGGGGGGGGCGGTATAGCAGCCCAGCCCCAGCATACCAAGGTGCCATCTCGGCCGGGGCTGGGGGCTCTGCACTGGACTAGGCCTCACCACTACACTTTATGAAGTGAGTACTATTATAGAGTCGATATATGCTACTCTAGAGTTGGTCTATATGACGATGCTACTACTATAGTCCGTAAATAACTACTGTATAGCGGGCGGGGGGATGATTGGGTGGGGGGGCCGGGGTAGCGGCCCAGCCCGAGCCTGCCAAGGTGCCATCTCGGCCGGCTTGCCAATCTAGGTGAGGCCGGGGGCTCTGCATGAGACTAGGCCTCACCACGTTCGTGTGCGTGTCTGTGTGTGCTGTCTGTGTGTGTGTGCTGTCTGTGTGTGTTTGTGGTGTGTGTGTCGTGTCTGCCTGCGTGTGTGGTGTCTGTGTGTGTGTGTTTTTGGTGTCTCTGTATGTGGAGTTCCAGCCTTCATAGCTACTGAAGTGCCGTATGTCTATGTTGGTGGCTGTGTGGTGTCTACCCCCCACTTTCCATAACTTTTTAGACTTCTGCAAGCCTCTTTACATTTTGTTGATAGACAAATGGACAGACAAATGACATGCTGGGCTTTCACAATAGCTTAGTATTTGTGTATGTATATGTTATTTTTTAAGAGAAGTTTTGAAAAAAAAAATCCCCCGGTCAACGCCGGGTACTTCCCGCTAGCCAATTATAAAATGTTAAAAGTGCACAAAATGGAAAAGTAAAATAATTATTGAAATGTAATAAGTATTCTTGCACATGATACAAGCATACATTCATGCATCTAAAAAGCACTACATTTTTATTTAAATATATTGTATGTCACATGACCCCTGCAGCCATTAGGGGTAATTGCCTGCACCGCAGTGTAAAAGAAAAAACTCATTTGAACTGAAATCATCACTCATTCATTTAGCATATCCCGTTAGGGACTTTGTGGCAACTACGATGAGTACCTTTCATGTCCATGCTTCCCGCAGCTGCTACATTAATTCCCAGCTTCACAAAAACACTCTCTTTGTCATCGTGTTCATCGACGCCTCTTCCCAACACACTTTCCTTGGGTGATAATCTCTTCTGGGCTACTGATGCCTCTTCTCATATGCCCAAAGCAGTAAGGTTTTCTATGGTGTACTTCTCTTTTCTATTTCCCATTCTCCCAGTACCGACTCATTTGTCCTGCATGTCATCCAAAAAATGCGGAGTATGCGCCTCTAGCATTGCATCTTGAAAGCGTATATCCTTGCCTTATTTTTTTTATTGCTTAGGAATCACATTCGTGCAGACCAGTTGTTATTTGTTATTTAGTATTGCGTCAAGAACCCATTGCATGGGCTGTTGTGGTGGGACAAAAACTTGGTAGGACCCCAAGTGCTTCCACCTAAAAGACTTAGTTTCAGCCGGGTATGTTCGGGTCAGTGACCCAGAAAAAAAATTCGCACCCAGAAATACGACAACAATAAGCATGAATAGACCTGGTTTTCTACACGAACAGGTATTCTGACATGAAGTGATAATGCATAGGCATTGGATTTTTGTTACCGAATTCCTAATTTAGGCTTCGGCCCCCTAACTTATGTGTAGTCCCCCCACAGATGTTGCCATGGTGTAATGGTTAGCACACTGGACTTGCAATCTAGAGGATGCTGGTTCAATTTTACAGAGCAGCATTTGAAACAATGGTTAGTTTACTTCAAAGCCCACACCCTCTGTCAACTCGGAGGTATGAATGGGTACACCAGTTAGCTGATCTGCAGGTGGCGTGTGGTGGGGTTAAGTGTAGATACTCCTGGCTCTTCAAAGACATGTAGAAGGGGTGGAACGGTCGGCAAAGTTTCCTCTAGAGGGGGCTCTCTAGAGCTCCATTTAGTGCAGGTCCTTCTGCCACCAGTGGTATGGGAAAGAAATTGCAGGGCTGCACCTTTACCCCCCTCTACCATCCTGTTTCTATGCCTATTTCATTCTCCCAAAAACCCAGGGAAGCTAATATTCAGTTAAAACCTAGGCCCTATATGAAACTATGTTGTTGTTTTTTACCATGTAAGGCCCTACTGAGCTGTGTAGAAGTGACCTGGCCACAAACGATAGCTCAACGAAGTGGCTCATCGAGTGGGAAAAGCACAGCAGCCAAAATGATCTAAATCTAGGACCTTGGGCCGTCACGTACCATTGAACCCGTCCTGGTCGACGTCGCCCAGCGGGGCGAGTGCGCTGCCAAAACGCGAGTACATCTCTTCGCCCGTGAAGCGCTGCGGCTCGCGGAAGGACAGTGTTCGCTCCTGCAGGAAGAGGTAGACACGGCCGACCTCACGCAGCTTCCCGTCCGATCCGCGGTCCATGAAGAGCGGCGCTCCCACCAGCACGTCTTCCAGCCTGCAGCAACGAGATACGACGAACGGGAGGTGGTCCAAGTGCTCGTTGCCAGACTGGCAAGCAATGGAAATCGTCTACTTACATGTTGGTACGTTTACTTATATATACGTATATTTTAAAAGTTCCGAATGTGCGCATTTGCAATGTCGAGACGATTGCATTTCCGTTTGAAATGCTTGCAGCAAAGCAATGTGACACGTTAGAGAATGGTTAAAAGTGAACGGTCTTAGGAAGTTGTTTACACGGAACTACTTCTAAGATATTTTCGTGAATATGTATTAAACACTCTACAGGTGTTCATCACATGGCAATGATACGTTTTACCATTCCCAGAGTAGGACAGAAGTCTAATAAAGTAAAACCAAAACGTCATTCGGCGATCAGGCTGAGACCATCAAATTGTTACAAATAAGAACCTGGCTCAATCAAGGTCAGTTGCACAAACCTGAGCACAGGATCTCAGTCGTCCTGACTCAGTGCTTTGACATGTTATTAACCCTCTCAGGACACCTGTTCCCTCCTTGTTGGCATGTTTTGGGTAGCTTCCACAACAACTACTTCTACTCTTACGAAAGCTCACTTAATTACCAAGAGCTCGTGTAAAAGCTTTTGGTAATTAAGATCTAAAATAGCAACAACACCTACAGCTGGAAGGGCTACGAAAAACAAGATCACATGATCCACTCACTATAAATACACTATTGAAGTAGAACTAAACAGCACCTCCGGGTTCTGTTGATATATAATATAGACATCTATAGCTCGAGAACGACTGCTACTCAAGTCTAGAGCCTATGACTATGCATATTGTAATGCAGCAGTTGCAGCTCTCTGCCTTGTAAGATGCCTAAGAACAGTATGCCCATAAGAACATAAGCAGATAAGCGGATAAGCATTTAAGAAAGAAGAAATGACCATTCAGCACAGCTGCTTATCCTGTCTCGCCACAACAGCTGTTTACTTGCTTCTAAACTCATGAGACATTTTTGTTAATCCCACATCTGTGGATACAGATACAATTACGAGCATACATGTACAATGAGTACCACACTTATCACGATGCCTCCATTCAGCAATTAATTTTTACGCTCGTGATTCGCACAAAAAGTTATCCGAGGTTTTTAAAAACGACAAGCAAATTATGAGTTACATATAGGTTAATGAATGGGGCAGACAAATAGTGTACAATCAAAAAATAAAAACATAGCAAAACATACAAATGATGTTAAAAACAAGACAACAAAATAAGAAATGTGATCTAATCGTAACTTCGAATCGTCGAAATTTTAAGAATTGGCGAAAGGGGGAGGGGGGGATGTGATGCTCAGTTGCGTGCCGAGTGGGAACAAAATCAATGGGCCGCTATGTTAACCGGTGACGAAATTACTAAGTGCAGCAGATGCTCGGCTCATTTCCACTTCCCCCGTGATTAATTTAACATCCCCCGAGCCATCCTCCACTCACTTGTCTCCATTGACGTCTGTGACCGCAACGCTGAATCCGAAGTAGGAAGCCATCTGCAAGGCGGCAAGCCAGAGAAGGGTCAAGGGATGTTCCGTTCACGAGGTCTAAAACAGGGGCGCAGATCTCTCGCAAGCGAGTCCAACAGTTGGATCAACCAAGCACAGCCATAGTACCTGTTCGCCAGAAAAGTTATGCAGGGAGGTCATGTTTTCACCGTCTAAAATTCCAACCTGAAAAGAAAAGAACCAAATTGAGGAGCACAGAAAGAGACATTTGGCAGTGCAAAGATGTTATTAGCCATTTGGGGGTCCCGTGTACATGCAAAAACACATTTTACTATTTGTAAATAATTCATACATTTACTTTTTGTCTATCACTCCCAAGATCTTCTGGTTCAACGGTGCCTTAAGAGGCTGCTCTATTGATGTTTTTTTTGCATCGTAATGCACCAACTGCAGTCATAGAATGACAGTTACTCTGCGAGAAACAGATTAACAAAATGCTACCTTCGTAACAAAGGGGAAAATTCCAGCAAAGGTCAGCCAACTTGTAAATAAATTTTTAACCTTAGTGGACATAAGCCAGACCTTACTTTTAGTTACTTTCTCCTGCACAGACTAACATAGGAATGTGCTGGCCTGTCGGTTCAGATCACAACTTACGTATCCAAGTGTCCGAAAGCCTTTCGGTACACCAGTCACAAAATCTGTGGTAATGAAATAAGTTAACTCAATTAGTACAACAAAAAATCCGCTTGTTGATTTTGTGAAGAAAATCATATACGTAAAAATATCTGCTAGTAGTAACATTTAAATATATAAAAGAATGTGAGGAACGCACCTTGCTGATTGTCACCGGTAAATTCTCCCACGGTCACAGAATAGCCTAGTTTGTAAAAAAAAATACAGCACTTAACAAGCTTAAAACTGTCTGTTTACATATATGCTTTTTTTCAAACACTGGGTGTAGTGTTTGAGTGAGGGTGCGCTATCAATGGTGTTTGCAGAAAGTCAAAAAAACAGCTTGGCAAAATGGTTATCAATTCTAGATTTGAAGCTTTCGTGACTGCAAGGATTCATACTCTTAATTTTTTTGGTAAAGTCACGTAGGTAAAAAATGAAAATAAAAAAATGAAATAAAAATTAATAAGAATTATTTTATTTTTATGAATTTTTACGTAATTTGTTTTTCATTTTTTTACCTACGTGACTTTACCGAAAAAAAACTAAGAGTATGGTTATCAATATACCTGCAAAAAAACAACACTGCATGGCTGGAGTGGCATCATAACTAGCAAACTATGGGATAGAAAGGCAAAAACAAAACCTAATCCTGACATTCAGTTGTACATCATTCTCCAATTTGTACAGATTCATGGCCACAATGTTGATCTCTATAAAAACAATAGACTTTAAAACTGTTCGCACGATAATAATTTCTGCGTTAAAATATCGCCATTGCTCATTGCGTGCCTCCACTGCCATCCGCTCGCTATTTGAAAAAATACAATTCGATTTTTTTTTTAAGGGATAAGGTTACAACCAAAGTTAAAGTTAAGCAACAACAAAAATCCACCATTATGGAGACTAACTCACGAACACGCGAGCTCACAACTGACAACCAACGATTTAAAGCTTTCGTGACTGCAGGGATTCATCTTCTTGGTTCTTTTGGTAAAGTCACGTAGAAGGGAAATAATAAAATAATAAAAATAAAACAAAATAAAATTATTCTCACGACGTTTCGACCACAACGCAAGCAGCCGTCCTCAAGTGAAAAACAGGTCTGTCGGAAAGACAGTGTCTGAATGAGACAGTGTCCTTCAGACGCTGTCTTTCCGACAGACCTGTTCTTCACCTGAGGACGGCTGCTTGCGTTGTGGCCGAAACGTCGTGAGAATTATATATTTTTTTCCCTTCTACGTGACTTTACCGAAAGAACCAAGCAGATGACAACCGACGCTTTACAATCTTACCGAGGTAGCTGTCATCGTAGCTGGGAGGGGCAGAACCGGTTTGCTTCTGTCCTTCAATGCTCCGCACCATACTTTCTGAGGTAGGGTCCTTCATCACTGCCTCCGAGGGGGCGGTGATCAGCTGCCCTGCAGTGAGGAATGTCTGTGTGACTCAAGGCCGGCGTTGTGATTATAACACTGCACACAAGACCCAACCTTCATGTAAATATTGCCCTGTGTAAAACATATTCTTAGGTTTTTTCGGTAAAGTCACGTAGGTAAAACAGTAAAATTAATAAAAGTAAAATAAAATAAAAATCACGACGTTTCGGAGGCAACACAAGCTTCCGTCTTCAGGTGGAACCTGTCACAGCCACGACAGCTGTATCAAGTAAATGAGAGATTGCAAGAGCTACCACTCCGTATATATAATGGTTGGAGAGGGGGAAGGGCCAAGTAGGGCATACTTTTTATTAATATGGTAAGGTGAGGCTTAAGAGGCTGAGCCTTTGTTATGGAGAGGTACGGTTTGTGACTAAGCCTGGCCTACATAACAAGTGTGAAAAAAGAAACAACTAAACATGGTAAAACAAGCCTGGCTGTCTATCAATAACCTGTAATAGTTGTCTGTCAAATAAGATGGTCCAAATAAGTGTAGTTAAATCTTTTTTGCAAGGTTAATGACATCTTTCCAATGATTACTCAGTTAGTAACCATGATCACGGTTGAAATTATGTCTGTGTTTTTATATTTGTATGTGTAAAACAATAATGTAGAGCCCTGGATATTTATTGCACACATATTCACACACATCTTTAAAACTGAGTAAGAAATATGCAGTGTTATGGAGTTGTACTCTACTCTGACAACTTTGCTAAACTAAAGGGTTGTATTTACCACGTATATCTCTTTTTCAGAAGTGACCTGGCCACAAATGATAGCTGAATGAAGTGGCTTAATTTCTCACAGCCAAATAATCGAAACACAAGTTTCTAAATGCGGAGAGAAAACACCGGAATACCCCGTGAAAAATCTACGCGCCCACGGAAAGATCATGCCAACTCCAAATAAAACAGGCGTCAAGGTCGGGATTGAACCCACGACCTCCTGCATACCAGGTGAGGGAGATAACATCTCGCCACCGCTATTCCCTGATACCTGGGTGAGCACCTTCCTTGCCCACCCATGCCAGGCCTGCGGCCCACCATAAACAACTGTGCCTAGCTTGCTTGACACTGTTTCAAAATGCGGTTAAATTTATATTTAAAAAGTGAATGGTGACCGGTCAAAATTGGTGTTATGTCTATTTAAAAATGTTACACCAAATCACACATGTCACACGAGTGAACCAAACGACAGCTGAAAACAAAGTTTCATACGAATTTTTGACTGGTTATTAGTTGTTACAACATACTTTGGTAGATGTACACAATGTTTCATATCCAAACACATAACGGGTTAAATGGAACCCACCACAGCAGTAATTTTATATAAAAAGCATTACTAGATTATCATATTTAACCTATCTTTACAACATCTGATGTGACAAGTAAAGAGCGTTAATGATTGCTATGCAGTGGTTTTGCTTTGCAATAGCAGTGTCAGTCATCCACTGTCAATGGATGACATCTTTGCTATTATGGTATTAAGAAATGTATCGTTTAATTTTTAGTTAAGTGGGCGAAAGCCTCTTGAGATACAAGTGAATCTTGTGTCTCTTATATGTTTCATATAACAGGAGTTACAGTTGGGCTGTGACAACGGACATACAACAGACTTATCGCAACAGTTAATCCAGGCGACATTGTACCACTTATATTCATGGATAAATAAATGAATTATATAATCGAAATCTGTATAAGCATTTTCTTCATTGAACTTTATTCTTAACAATTATATATACATTTTGTAACAAATATCAGGTCATGAGACCGAGAACAATCCATTGGAACTTTCAAACAATGTATTATCCCGTCAGAATACTGCCTGAGAAGATTACATCATGGAACTACTTCTGAAACCACTTCAACAACCCATTCTATCCTTTTTTAACACCTTGCCAATATTATCCAATACATGTCAATCAAACGAAACATTTTTATTCTCACAGCTATAGTTTTTGGCAAATGAAGTAAAATATATCAATCTCATTATTTTTTGAACACAGTCATTGGTGACCAAGCTGGGAATAATAATTCACTCAACAACACTGAACAACCCAGTTTAATCATGGGCCCCACCTCATTGCTCTGACCACTGAACCGCTCAGCCATCACATATTTACACAACTTAAACTGAGATGAAAATATTTATTTGTTTTGCCAACATCAGCTCATTTTCAAGAAAGATCCACTCACAAATATTACTTTTCCCACTGTTCGGGGCAAAAAATAAATGGAAGGATTTCCTGGATCTTGCCGAAAAGCTTACGGCTCTCCGTTTCTGGAGTCGACCGGGCAGCTACAAACTATGATATCCCCCCCTCCTAATATCCAAGGAGAACAACATTTCGATTTAAAGCTTTCGTGACTCCAGGGATTCATCTTCTTGGTTCTTTCGGTAAAGTCACGTAGAAGGGAAGTAATAAAATAATAAAAATAAAACATAATAAAAAAAAATAATATAATTATTTAAAAATAAAACATAAGAAAATAAAATAATAATATAATTATTTTATTATGTTTTATTTTTATTATTTTATTACTTCCCTTCTACGTGACTTTACCGAAAGAACCAAGAAGAGAACAACATTCATTGGTTGGCAGAGGAGTGCACTAACCTTGCCAGTAAAAGCTCCCAGGACCTCCGAGCACCACCCGACCAGACTGCAACACAAGACAACGTCTCAATACAAAGGAAAATTTAAAATAATACCGTGCAAGGCCAAGGCAACATTAGCATGCACACACACACACAAAGATCACCTATATAGCCCTACAGACTGTTGGGGCAAGGGTTGCTAGCAGGAACCTATTAAGGCTAGCATGGCACAGGAGGGGGTGATATTGCCAGCAACATGCCTGGCCTGAATTTGTCTCCCCAATACTGATTTCAACACATCACAGCAGGTACCCAATTGAGGCTGAGTCAACCCAGGCGAGGTCTAGGACTGATTCAAATATCCATCACCACTGATGACAGCCGTGGCTAGGAATCAAACTCAGTTTCGTCGGGTTCACAATGCAGTGCGATAACTACTACACACACATGCACATACACACACACAAGCTCCACCATTTATCATAAAGGGAGAATGAGTAATGCATCCTGTTGCAGGGCTCACCTTAGTGAAGTCCACACTGAATCCCCCTTGGCAGAATCCTTGTCCCTGAGGGTCTCCAAAACCTGAAAAAAAGACAAATGTATAAATGCTCCTAAACCCCAAGCGTCAAGTGCTGACATTCTTCACTAATGCAAAAGTGCAGCCCTGCAATTTCTTGCTCACGCCATTGCTGGCAGAAGGGCCTCCACTGGAGTGTGTTCTAGAGGGCCTCCACCAGAAGGGGATCTAGAGAGCCCATCCCGGAGTGTATTTGGTCTACTCTTCCATGCTATTATTTATTTACTTGCTGATAAGTTAATATAAAAATACGTCCATTCGGTGGCGCAATGGATCCACCGACCTGAGTTTAATTCTCGGCCATGGAAAAAATCAATGAAGAGCAGAAACTAAATCGGTGATCCCTTTCCTACTCGCTAAATGGCAGTGATCAGCATGGAGAAGTATGATAGAAACATCTTCCATGGCCGGCACAGTGCATGCAGACCTTCAAAGAGCTGTACATTACTATTTTATTCGTCTACATGCATTATATACGTGTGTATATTTACGCGTGTGAAGATCAATTCACATTTAAAAACACATGTTACACGTTAAATTAAATTCAAATTGGTGTGTAAACACACAATATGTATCTATTTATATTTAAAAACACATGCATTCTCTTGGGAAATTATGAGAAGTGTGTGTGACAGACAGTGCAACGGGCAACTCTTACTTGTGCGGCAGGGAGAGTACTCGGAAAATTTGTTGAAGTTGTCCGAGGATAAGTAGCAGGTCCCTACAGGGTCCTTCTCCCTGTTGGTCTTCATGGTTCTCCAATGGTAGAGTGGAGCACAGGCCTACAGCACACGTGAAGAAGGGAATACAAGAAGGGGGGATCACTTTTATGAAACTGCCAGCAGCAATAGGAGCCTTCCTTCTCAAGGACATGGGAGAAATGTTGAAGACTATTCAACTATTTTAACTTTACACAATGTTTTTTTTTTACCAGGTAAGGTCCAGTGAGCAATACGGCTCTTTTTCAGAAAAGACCTGGCCACAAATGATAGCTCGATGGAGTGGATTATTACGTGGAAATGCGTCGCAGAGAAATAAACTAAACGCATGTTTCTAAATGTGGAGGGGAAAACCAGAGGACCTGGGGAAAAATCCACGCAACCACGGGGAAAACATGCAAACTCCAAATATACAGGAGTCAGGGTCGGGATCAAGCCTACGACCTCCTGTATACCACGCAAGGGCGTTAACATCTCGCCACCGGGCCCCTAAACAAAGCCTTCACATCCTGGAGTACTGCTCAGCCATTGTAAATGTTCTCTGACCACACACAAACTGCTGAACTGAACTGAGTAAAAAATTAACAGCGTTATGTTCTGTCCAAACATGATATTTAAATTTATTTTAGTCCATCTGCCTATTGGCTTTTCAGAATGATATTATAAAACAGCATGTTTAACCAAAGAAAACTCTTGACAGGTTTTGACATTCTGGGTCTCATCAGCAGTAAGACTTATAAAAAAAAACATACCAGAATTTGCTGAATTTCGATTTAAAGCTTTCGTGACTGCAGGGATTCATCGTCTTGGTTCTTTGGGTAAAGTCACGTAGAAGGGAAATAATAAACTAATAAAAATAAAACATAATATAATAATTCTCACGACGTTTCGACCACAACGCAAGCAGCCGTCCTCAGGTGAAGAACAGGTCTGTCAGATGCTGACTTTCCGACAGACCCGTTCTTCACCTGAAGACGGCTGCTTGCGTTGTGGCCGAAACGTTGTGAAAATGATTTTATAATGTTTTATTTTTATTATTGAATTATTTCCCTTCTACGTGACTTTACCGAAAGAACCAAGAAGACAGAATTTACTGGTTTAAACAAATACTGTTCGATAACATTGCTCTCATAAGCGGAAAGGCTGATGGACTAACACATTTTTAAAATTTGAAAACACAAATTGCAGAAGGATGCAAGATTGAAAATAAAATCGTTTACTTTTGACGAAGCAGTAAAGAGTACTTCTCTATTGTAAATAGCAACGTTTCCTCCTCAAATATAAAATGTTCGCTAGCTCAGTGAGATACAGTTGCGTAACTATGGCCAAGAAGAACATTCTCAACGCATCTCATTTCCAAAAATAATCTTTTTAATTTTGGCTCTTTACAATTCATTTACCGGCCAATTTTTTTTTTTACAACCAAACACGAAGAATAGTTTTCCCTCCTTTAACTAGAGCATATTTTCATTGGTGAAAATAAAATAGGCTTTACCCTTTCTGGCAATAACACAGGCGTTAAGATGTTTAAACACCAAACAGACACCTATTGCAAGGCATGAAAGTCTGCATTAACCGCACATGCTTGTGGTAAAACGTGTGGTAAAACGTGGTAAAACGTGTTTTACCACAAGCATTTTGGTGTGTTAAATATCTTAACACCTGTATTATTGCCTGATCGGGTAACAACTATTCTTTGTTGATCGTCTTTATACCGGCAAGAATGGTTCCATAGATACATCCTACTGGACGAAGCCAATGTATTGTATTCAGTCATTTGCACATTACCCCTCAGTAATGTCAAAATAGCCTAAGGGCAACCCGTGCGTGAAATGTGTGCGGTGAGTGTGAGGAGAAAATAAGAAACGAAAAAAATCCGAGCTGCTCACCAGAACTTTGGAGCCATGGGTTCGTAGGCTGGCCCCAAACCACTGTTTGGACTTGTACTCCAACTTTTCTCTCGCTTCCGTGGGCAGCGTGATCATGCGGTCCCCTGCAGAGGCAAAACAACGTGGCAAGGCACCAACAGATTAGTGGGGGGGTTAACAATTAGAGAAGGGACTTTTGTGTTTACATAACTGTATGAACAAAGCAAGTGCAATACATTCAAAAGTGGGATGCTTATAAAAGATGATTAAACGCTGAAATCTCAGAAAATGAGGAAGGACTGCAAATTAAATGTTTTAAGTCTTCTCATGAAATAGTGTATTACATGAGAGCAACATACAACATGACATTCAGGGACCACTAATTGTTCACTGGACATTTCTGTTAAATATTATGTATTATAATTACGAATAATGTACAGACCTTTGTCAATCCACTGTTGGATGAAAGCCTACATACGTCTTGTAAGTCATAAGGGTTGTTTTACCGTACTTCACCACACTGGTCAGTGTGGATTATTGAAAGTGGGTTAGTGTGGGGTGGTACCACCCTAAAAAATTGTGTGTGGTTGCAATCATACTCTTTGGTTCTGTCGGTAAAGTCACGTAGGTATAAAATAAAATAAATAAAATCACGACGTTTCGGGTGCAACACCCACAGCAATAAGCAATTGTCAAGTAAGGAAGGCCCACTTCAGCAATTGTTTCTTGCTGTGGTTGTCCCACCTGATGACGGATGCTTGTGTTGCGCCCGAAACGTCGTGATTTAATGTATTTTATTTTCTATCTACGTGACTTTACCGAAAGAACCAAAGAGTATGGATCCCTGCAGTCACGAAAACTTCAAATCTAGATTGGTTGCAATCATCTTCTGCTTATAGCCCTAAATCAGTGGCAGAAATTTCATATTTCTGTTGTGGGAGCCATTCAGTCCATAGGAGAACCACTGTTGAATGGTAATCATTTCAATGACTATGTTGGGATGATTCAACCCCCAAATGAGATTTGAACTCGAAACCTTCCAATTGTGAGTCATGCACTCTAACCAATGTGCCACCCAGTGATAATTACCGACTTTACTACGCAACTGCAAAAGCAAATATTTTATTCTACAATATTAGATACGTTTGAGAATTCAGACTCATCACACACACACACACATCAGTCATTTCTACGAAGAACATTGTCAAGTAAGGAAGACCATTTTCAAAACAACCACACTTTGCCAATTCAATGTACTTAGCGTGCTCGATCGGCGGAGCGTATTTCCAAGGGAAATTGTGGAGAAACCATTTCCTTCTGTTCAGGAATGTTACAAAGATAAAAAAAAACAAACCCAGTAAAGATCTAATCCACTGAGATGGATTGTTTCAATAATATAATGAATATATATCTGAGACATTACCAGAAACTAAAGCATTATTTGTAACAAAAAAAAGCTTTATATTTTATTATTTTAACAAAAAAGGACTGTTTGTTAAAATAAACAGACTAAAATAACTTGTTTAAAATTATCAACTGTAGGCAAAATATAGAATACACTCGTCTCAAAAATAGTTTAGTGTACACATTTGTATAAAGCACACACTTAAATGTATTTTTCCTGAACAGGACTCGCTTCCCCCCCACCCTTGTCTTCCCCCTCCACTACCCCACATCCATTCTCATATCTCCCTATCTTTTCTACATTCCTAGAAGAAATGTGGGATGGGCTCACCGATAAACAGCAACGAAGCCACGTACAAAGAGACATACTCAGATACGTTTCACGATACGTTTTACATAATCGTGTATGCTTATCGTTGCTGCTGCTGAACTGCAACATACAACTTATTGGTTCTTTCGGTAAAGTCACGTAGAAGGGAAGTAATAAAATAATAAAAAATAAAACATAATAAAATAATTCTCACGACGTTTCGGCCACAACGCAAGCAGCCGTCCTCAGGTGAAGAACAGGTCTGTCGGAAAGACACCTGAGGACGGCTGCTTGCGTTGTGGCCGAAACGTCGTGAGAATTATTTTATTATGTTTTATTTTTATTATTTTATTATTTCCCTTCTACGTGACTTTACCGAAAGAACCAAGAAGATGAATCCCTGCAGTCACAAAAGAAGCTTTAAATCGAAATGCAACATACAATTTTCACACCAAAAAAATCCCGTTGTTTTTGCTTTCGGCAAAATTGCACCCGCTGTTTACACTGGCATGACTTATAGAAACAAAGAATGTGTTTTACGGCTTTAACAAACCATTTAAAAGTTTGTTCTTTAAGACTCATAAGGCCGCTACTTAATCTGCAAGTATAAATGCATTACTCTCATTATTTCTTCAGATAGTGCTGCCACTTTAAAAGCCCTGGCATCCGGTTACAATTTCTGTACTGCATAACACGTCTGTGCAAACTAGTTTGGCATTACTCCCACGCACGTAACAGCATCCGCACGGTACCCCCCCTCTCTCCTCGCGCGCTCTCTCTCTCTGAGCGAACATGGGCTGTTAGTGATTACTTCCAGACTATATTCGTGAGAAGCAGGAGCAGAACTCGGCTCCTAAAGCTGTCACATTTGAAAATGCATTCTAAATAATGAACAGAAATATGGACACACTGAGCAGCAATGGCAGTGTTTACATACTGTTTGTGCATTTTCTCATTCGGTTTAACTGCACCGTAAATATATTGTATGTACTTAAACATACGCTGCCACACACGCTACACAAAACTTGTCTAAGTGTAAATAAACACAATTCCAGTACAACGGGTAGGAGTGAATGAGTAGAAGGAGTGGACTTTACTCGAACAAAATATGCACCATATATAAAGGTAAACAAAGACAGTGTGTAATCTTGAGGAATTACCACTCTCTCTGGATTATAAGACTTACCTCACACTTTTCATTTCAAATACAGGAGGGAAAAGTGCATAGATCTAGATAATACGGGAGTTGATTCTAACCATACTAAGTACAATACTGCGTATAATTATTAACCTAAAGTTGGGGTTTGCTTGCTTTTGGCTTAATAAAGCATTTAAATACATATTCTTAGGTTTTTTCGGTAAAGTCATGTAGGTCAAAAATTTTTTTATAAAAGTAAAATATTTTTTTACCTACGTGACTTTACCGAAAAAACCTAAGAATATGAATCTTTGCAGTCACGAAAGCTTCAAATCTACATTTAAATACAATAGTCTCTCAAGATGCCCTTTGAGATTTGCCTGTAGGATACAGTTACTTTCGAATTTGCCAAGGGGCCCTATGCTGGGAATATGAGGGCTCTCAGGCCTATGGAGAGTTTACACTCAGTTGTGCAAAAGTAGTGGCATCACATTGTTACATAAATGCCCATACTGGGCATATGTGAAAAAGAGCTTCATAGTTCACGAGATTCCTCCAGTCTAAATAAAGATTATATGATTCTGATTAAAAAAAATAGGCTAGGACAGGACACGTTCCTTGAAGGGATGATGGCCGATGAACGAAACTGGTGATGGAAATTTCGATTTAAAGCTTTCGTGACTGCAGGGATTCATCTTCTTGGGAAATAATAATTATTATTTCCCTTCTACGTGACTTTACCGAAAGAACCAAGAAGATGGTGATGGAAAGGCAACCAAGGAACGGAAGGCATCCAAGAGGAGCACCACCACAGCGATAAGGTCAACTCATGCACAAACGGGCGACAGATTGTCGCATCGTGGGACCATGAATGACGATGATGACATGGGGAGAGGCCTTCATCCAGCAATGGATGGATCATGAAGCCGATGATGACGATGCTGATGCGAGACACACTAAAGCCGCAGAACGGCTGAGCACAGACACATTTTCTCCGCATTTACCTTTGGTGTCGAATTTGACTGTCGTGCAATCAGCATCTCCTGCCCACGGGCAGTTGTAGACTGCACCACCTTCTACCACTCCGGGCTGGGTGGTGTTCGCTCTGGGAGCTCCGATGACGACACTCACGCTGAACAATGGAGACGCACGTAAGCGACAAATCATATTATTTGTATATTTGATATTCGCTCCATGTCGAAGCCCCGTTGTTGTGGCACCGGAGCTGCAGCCAGTCAGCTGTGTGCCATCATCCACACTTCATGAGCAGGAAAACCATGAGCTGTGCTTAGGAGTTTTGAAATATCATAACAAAGATTTTGCTCAATGTATCAGGCACATAGGTGTATTCTTAGCTTACTGAGATTACACATTACCATCGATTGCTTATTTAGCATATTTCATTTCATTTAGACAATATTTTACCAATGAAAATACTGTGTGTGCTTTGTAGAATGCCTTTGTAGAAATTCAGGATAACACAAAAAACTATGCTATATGCTGTGCATACTCACAAATATGTAAGACAACAATAACAGATGCATAATATTATTTCACTTTTTATTGTGTTAATAATTTTATTTCACAAGAGTGCACAATGAGTATTATATTCAAAGTTGACGTTACTGCACCAATCGGCCCCTCTGTTCACCTGTCTAATCAGTGTAAAACACCCCGAACCTACAACCCTTCAGGCATACAAATGGAATTCCCACCCATTAGTCTCTTTTCCCCAAGTTTTTATATCTTTTGCTCAATTCAAACGTACGCATTCGTCCGTAATATACCTACAATAGTTCTGTTTGTTGATGGCTAACGGCATTTCCGGGCCTTTGGGACTGCTACTGTGCAACTGTGATAATAAAAAGAGATAGATACTACCGTGTAAGTACTGCAGGACATATCCTAATGCTACTTTTCTTATTCCCAGTCTCTTGCGAATTTTCCAAAGTAAAGAATTTGGGGATGACGTCTCGTCTCAGAGGTCATACATTTCCCAACATGTGTCGACATTCTCCACCCAATGAAAGCATCCTCAGGTCACTTCAGCTGGTACATGTGTTGGTGGCAACTGTGCAGGAAACAGGTGGCTGGGCGTCTTCCTAACCACACATAATCACCCGTGTGCCAAACTTTCACCATGGCAAGTGTTGGGGGCTCAGTCCTGTAGTATCAAGGATCAACCCACCCCTTCAAAATCCTTCGTGTGTAGATATATGTCTCTGTATATCTGTATTTTTCTTTCTCTGTGTCTGTGTGTATCTCCACATCTCTCTCAATATTTCCCAAATGCATTTCCCCACATCTCCACGTGTGTGCGAGTGTCTCTCCATGTCTGTGTGTAAACCTCCCGTGTCTCCGCTCTACGTATCTCCATAGGCCGATTGATCATGGTTACTAGGGCCCCCAGCCTAATCTAATGTGCTTTCAAGGAATGTATTAAAAATCACAAATTATGCGACCACCAGGACCTTCATGGTCAAATCGTAGCTATTAAAAATATATTAATGTGATAGAAAGTATAGAAAGTAGGGAGTTGAGTGAGGCCTGCATAGTGGCTCACGCCCTGCTCAATGAACTTACTTGGTAATCTGAGTTTGATTCCTGGATAAATATTTGTGGCAAAAGGTATATAGACATACATATACGTACATACGAAGCGGTCATGGGCAGCCTCCCTACATTCCCCAACCCACACGAACTAATGCGGTGACGTACGGTGCAACAACCACCATATTATCAACATAGTTTGAGGTCTTAATCCAGCAGTGGATTAATAAAGGGTTCTTTAAAAATGTTTGATATATACACCAGTGCTGTATGGTGTTTGTGCTACCTTTCAAATTCAAATGTTTAAAACCTCATGGCTGGCTATCATTACATGCAAATATATTATGGTGACCTCGCCATTAATATGTTCTTAATGAACTCATACGTTGATTAATGAGTAACATAGCAGAACAGCACAGTAATGGAAACCACGTGGATTTTTTAAAGAAAATTATGAACAGCATAGGCTTAATAATTATTTTTAATTAACTCTAATGTATCTGCATAAAATGACACCATTCATGGTGGTTTAACGGATACAACACCACAACAGACATTTCATTGTACACTAGAGTATTGAACTAGTTTTCCAGTTAATAGAAAAGTACAACATTCTTAATTTCTGCACTCAATTCAAAGTTTGGCAGCACAGCAACAATAAGTTATGAGATTGTTTACACGAACCACATCGTTTTCATGAGTACAGTATAAACACCCTACAGTGTACGTGCTTGTAGCATGCCAGACCTCAAGAAGAGTATTGAAATGTGTTGTGTTTTCCAGGGCAGACCTGGTAACGGTCTTCTAATCTAAGGGAATGGTTCACCATGGAATATTCCGCACCTCTGATTATCACTGTTGGCTACGTACGGTGAGAAAGAAGTGTCTACATTACACATACATCAGTTTAACACGTAGGCTTTCACGACCAATATTATTCACAATCAACGTTTTTGGGTTTAGATCGCGTTATTTATAAATGTGTCGTAACCCTCCACCACCCGACACGGCCAATCAGTAAAAAAGTGTCACGGCGAATTGCCCGATGATGCTGGATGCAATTACCAGCGAAACGTCGTACTCAATTGTAAATGTGTTTTCACGCTTCAACACACCGGTGGGCTAAAGCAGTGAACTATTTGTCCTTTGTCAACGTGACACTTTTTTACTGATTGGCCGTGTCGGGTGGTGGAGGGTTACGACACATTTATAAATAACGCGATCTAAACACATACATCCTGTATCTTCTAAGTGATTTCGTAAATAAATGCAGATAAACGATACAGTGGAGTGTCCGGATTGTGCACTTAATTACACGTGCACATTTTTAAAACAGTGTATAGTGTGTGGATGCTTCCCTTTCAATAAACACAATCTTTGAAGAAAAACGCGTACAAACGCAAAGAGAACTAAGCCCAACTTGATATTCACGTACGCGTGGGAGTACTCTGCGTCAAACTGTCATATGGGCAAATGTATCAAATCATGTAAAAACGTCAATGTTATTATAACTGCACATCTTTGTCACCGAACGTAAGATTTGCTCTCAAATGTCAAGGTGCAGCGAAGCTGGTCGGCTCTCGAATTGAGAATTCAGAGTATCGGATGAGGGTGCGTGCTCACCAGAACGATTCATATATACAAGGGCTCCTAATTCAGGAAATAATAATGCTCATTCGAGGGACACTTTCTAAGCAAAAGCCACAAGAGTCTCTCTCTCATTGAATCAATATTTCGATTAGGCTTTGTTTTTTTAGTTTAAAGCCACCTGCGAGCACACTCAACATCAGCCACTCTGGGAGTCGTGGGTATCCTCTGGACAATGGCAAAAACAGTTTACATATGGCTTAAAGAGACAGGCCACAAAAACTTTGCACAAAATCATGATGTTACAGCAGTGCAAGTAACTATGAGAACTTAAAAGGTCATATATGGCACGTGCACAGTAACATTGTTAGGTCTACGCGTGGACGGAAGAGTGCTTCTTGTGTGCAGAAAAAATATCAGCAAAAATGTCACCACCTAACATTTGACATGTTTCCACAAAGCTGTGCATAATACGCAAATAAACACTTGTTTTGTGGCCACTCGTCCCAGAAGTAGCAAATAAAACACCCGTCTCGTTCAGACTCTTAGCAACCCACCGGTATTTTCCACCTACTTTAAGAATGATCACTTTGATGATGTAACACAATAACCAACGCAGTAACAATCGATAACTGGAAAGTACTGTGTCAAACGTAAAAGTATTGTAATGGCAATTACAATTGTGGTAGGAAATAGAGACGCAATCGATATAAGGCAGGCAGGGCAATAACATAATTGTGTTTATCCAGTTCAAGAAATATTACATCGCACCCTTAACAGTGTGATAAAAGAAAATCAGAAGCCTTAAGGGGCCCCTCAGTACTACTATACTATTTTCTAACGCATTCCTGTCAACACACTTATTCAAATGCTGAAGTCGAGTACTGTATCTAGAACTCGCTTGTTCTCTCCCTTGTTCTAGTTTGTGTATTTTTTCTAGATGTGGAAAATTGTCCTGTCACTCAAATGTGCACAGATATTCTGGCATGTGTGGACGGAAACGTTATAAAGAACCACAGCCATTAAAATGTATGAGTGCGTGTTCACTGCGGTTAACTGCCTGTGGATGGAATAATTTACTCATTTCTGATGAAGCTCACACCAACTTAGCGGCACTACTGTATTCCTTTTGAAATGTCATATACAACAGAAATATTCATCAATACTGTAAAAGTATTTTATTTAAAACCAAGTGAAAGATTATTTGGAGAAAAACAAGTCTCATTTTAGAGGGAGACAATGGAGAAAAAGTAACCTAAATAAAGAAATCAAAGTATAAACAAAGCAAATTATATTTGAAGACTGCACAATTGAAAACAAATTGTATTCAAATGTCTTTCAACCTGCCCTTTTAAATATACAACTTTCACTTTTTGAAACACTTGTCTTTATTTTACTGAACACTGTCTACATAATTGTACCAATTGTTTACCATGATAATTTTTAAAGTGTAATTTAATTTGGGAAATCTTCACTGTATATCAATTCTTTACCGGGGAGGGCCATGCACTGGGATGTTTAGCCAATTTTCTTGAGTTTTTTTATGTTGGGAGAGAAAACCTGAGTCCCCGGAGAAAACCCACCACGTTTTAGAAGTACAACACTTAAAGGTCCCACACCACATACAGGTTCACAAACCCACTGGCTTGCACGGTCATCTCCCAGACTCATCGCAGCCCAGCTGTTGGTTTGGACGTTTAGACAACACCAAGTGTTCCACAAACCCTTGTCTCCAATGTGCTGGGTGGATTACAAATGTTCATGTGCCACACCGTGCCCTTTAATCCTCTAACGAGATCTGGCAAGTGGTAATTACCACGCCAGGCTCAATGAATGATGGGTCACCCCAACACATGCTCCAACATCACAAGAGGCCAGTCACACAAGCACGCAGTGAACGTGGCACGAACAGACAACTGTGAAAACAAAATGTTTTTCCCGTGCTGGGTTTTCTCGTCGTCATCGTGCATCATCTGCCACGATCACTCCACTGCTGAATAAAGGCCTCCTCTTTCTCTCTCTCTTTCTCTCACAATGTAAGGCTAACGGTCAAGAGTAATTCTAGGAATGCATCTCTCTGCATGCCTTTTGGAACCACGTTTAAGTGCTGTTAGGTGGGTCGGGGTACTGGTTAAATATTTTGGTCAGATAAATTAATAACGGTGGCAACACAACCACGCGTCAAATGGGATAAAGGTGCGGCAATGAAACTGGCCTTGCTCACGTCCATGCTGGCGGAAGGGCCTCATCTGAAAGGGGAACCCATAGAGGACACCCACAACTCTACCACGGGTACCCACTATTCACCTCACCACACGTGACCTTGCTGAGCAACTGTGTGGGGGGGGGGGGTTCATGAAAGGCGCACGAATCGAACCTACGACTTTGTTTGTGGGAGTCTACTGCATGTTGTTACTCTATGTCGAGACTGCCAACATCACCGTGATCATTTCGAGCATTGCAGATTGATATGGCGACTCACGCACACCTAAACTGCACTGCAAACTAATTTATTTTGCCAGGTAAGATCCACTGAAAGGAGACAGACCTGTTCTCCACCTGAGGACGGCTGCTTGCGTTGTGGCCGAAACGTCGTGAGAATTATTTTATTATGTTTTATTTTTATTACCGAGTTTAAAACAACCAGCCCACGCACCCATCGATGGCTTACCTGTCAGAAGCGGGCAGGTAAAAGTCCACCGCATAGCCAAAGTAGCTGTCAGCTGGACCCGAGAGCACATTGGCTCGAGTAGCATCCAGATTGAAGGCGCTCGTCGATTGCACGACCATCATCAGGTGGACCAGAGAGGTGACCAGACGCACCCCGATCACATCCTTCGAGCAGCCTGGAGCCATCGTCACCCCCCTCTCTTCCCCCCACTGGTCGGGGATGACGAACCTGTGAAGATGATGTCCGTTTTTTGAAAATCCTTTATATTAAGTTCACTTGCTTGCTTGCGCGCTTACGACCGTGCAAATCTTTCGGTCGTTTTTTAACCCACTTCCCGTGATCCAATCGAGCTGACATTTTGCACACAGACTCGTTGTGCTTGACAATTTATTTTCATGAAAAATTTTTTTCCATAACTTTACACTTTTTAGGATTTTTTAAAATATTTAATTACCAATTGCTTAATGGTGGCAGGCAATCATCTGACCCATAGGTGGCAGCCATCTCAAGCCAAAGGACGAGAGGACTCTAGCCGCCACGCATATAAAGGATTTATAGTGAAAAACTTTTTGGTCTGTGTCTGTGGATGGGTGTCTTATGGGTTGTGTGTGTGTGTGACAATCTCTGTATAGACCGTGTGGGGAGCGGTAGTGCGCTATGAACCCGGCGACCCGGGTTCGATTCCCGCTCACGGCCAACAGTGACGATTATCTGAACCGGTCCTGGGCCTCCCCTAGGTCGACTCAGCCTGAAATGAGTACCTGGTGTGGTGTGTAAACATCGCCACTAGCGAGACAAAGGCGGTCGGGCGTGGTGCTGGCCACCCACCCTCTCGTGTGCCGTTCCGGCCTTCATAGGTGCTTACTAACAGCACTTGCCCCTACAGCCTGTTAAGGCTACACGGGGGATCTTTGTCTTTGTGTGTGTGACAATCTCTGTATAGACCGTGTCTATACGGTGATGGGTTTACAACGATACAATGTTTTTTTCGTGTACACAAGTGTCTGTCTGTATAAACCTTACACTCTGTGTCCATGTTAGACATGTGTAGTTGGTGTGTGTGTGTCTGTCTGTATGCTATCCGTACATACAGCCCTGTAATTGAACACACGTGTACCTGATTTAGTTTCGTGTACTTTACTCGGCATTGTGTGTATGTCCTTGTACAAGTATGCCCATCGCATGTGAACGTACATATCCCAAACTTACCAGAACTGAGTGCGTGCGTGTCTCTAATGATTAACGTACCACAACATACCAGGGAACGATCCTACAGTGTGTCAAAACGATGTGTAAACTTTACACTCGGTGTGTTCCTTAACGCCGTAAGCAGCAGCAGCAGCAGTGTGTGTGTACACTACCCTGTTAAACTCAACACAAACAAAAGCATCAATGTTCCCCGTACAGTAACTTCACACTCTTACCGCAAGTTAATTATTTCGCTGACCGACCGCAAAGGTTTGCCTTGCCGACGACACGAAGTCTCATCAAACAAACTCCCCACTCACTTCGCCTTCCTCTTCGTTCCGTTGCTGCCTGCGTCGGGACGATGGCTTCAGTTGACAACTTCGTGGTGACCTAGACATCAACAAGAAGGCAGAAGAAGACTCGTCGTGATGGTGTAGGGAAGGGGGGGTTTACCCAGCCAGTCCCTGGGATCGAAAGCGAAGTTCGCCTTCGCTGGACACAAACAGAAGGCGGAGATGAGAGAGGAGGAGGAGGAGTGGTGGGGGGTGGGTGGGTTTGGAGAGCGCCCTCCGCGGAAGAGGATCGACAGGACACGGAGCCCGGGCGAATGGGGTTGAGAGGGTACGGGGAGGAGGAGGAGGATACGCTGGTGGGGGCAATGGGGTGGAGCGAAACTTGCGAGAGAGAGAGAGAATGAAGGAGAGGAGGGAAGAGAGGAGAAGAGAGGAGGGAGAGGAGAGAGAGACGGGAGATGAGCGAGAGAAGAAAGAGAGTTTATTGTGGTGGAGTGGCAAATTCGTCGAGTGTTGCGTCTCGCCGTCTGTGTTGTGCAGCACTTGCCCCTCTGCCCCTGCCACTCTTGTTAAGGCTATACGGGGGGTCTTTATCTTTGTGCGTGGGTTGGGGTTGGAACGGTGGTGTTGCGGTTAGGGGCCGTCCATGAATGACGTCACGCGATTTTGTACGATTTTTGACCCCCCCCACCCCCTCGTCACACGGCGTCACAAAAAGTCACCCCCCCCCCCTCAGATATGACGTCACAAAGCTATGCCCCCCCCCCCCCCCCAAATAAAACATGCTTCAAATCGCTTTAAACTATTGTCATTGTAGTGCGTATTTAATGTGGCGCTGCACTCTGATGTTGTAGGAGAAAACATTAAAAAGTCTATTTAATTAAGTAGAAAGTGTTGTATATATTCATTTAAAGTTGCGCATTTTGATGTGACGTCACATTTCTCACCCCCCCCCCTCGTGCGTGACGTCATTTATGGACGGCCCCTTAGCACTGCGCTACGAACCCGGCGGACCCAAGTTCGATTGCCGCTCACAGCCACCAACACCCGCTGACGGATTATCTGAACCGGTCCTGGGTCTCTTCCCTAGGTAGACTCAGCCTCAAATGAGTACAGTACCTGGTGCTGTGTAACAACATCGCCACTTGGGGAAACATCGCTAGCTCCGCCCACTTCGTTTATGACCCTTGGACGACACCCATTTCAAACCTTTAATAAGTATAACCAGTAAAAACAAAGTTTTTCACTCTAAATCCTTTATATGCGTGGCGGCTAGAGTCCTCTCGTCCTCTGGCTTGAGATGGCTGCCACCTATGGGTCAGATGATTGTCTGCAGTAATAAACAATTGGTAATTAAATATTTAATTTGTTTTCCCTAAACAGTGTAAAATTTTGGGAAAATTTTTTCACGAACATTAATTGTCTCGCACAACGAGTCTGTGTGCAAAATATCAGCTCGATTAGATCACGGGAAGTGGGTTAAAAAACGACCAAAATGTTTGCACGGTCGTAAGCAAGCAAGCAAGCACGCAAGCACGCAAGCAAGCAAGCGAACTTAATATAAAGGATTTAAAAACAGCCTGCATCAGCAGCTTTCCCCCTTTTATTCTCCTAATGATGATTGCTTGTGTTGCGATCGAAACGTCGTGATTTTATTTTTATCATTTTTCATTTATTTTCATTTTCATTATTTATTGTTATTTTATCTACGTGACTTTAACGAAAAGACCCAAATAATATGAATTCCTGCACTCACGAAAGCTTTAAGTCAAGATCAGGCGTTATTGTCGTGGGCGCGGATCTGCCAAAAGTGCCAGCCATATAATAAATGTGGTGAAAAGGCATTTCTCTGCACCTAATTATGTGGGCACAAGTATTTTTTTTTATTCTTTCGTAATATCTATTAAATTTGTATTTAGTATTACTTTGCGAATATGGCATTTGGCTACACGTTGACTTGTTATTGCAACAAAGAGAAAGACGAGTTTTAAGTACTATTTACACTTTCTTGGTTCTTTCGGTAAAGTCACGTAGAAGGGAAGTAATAAAATAATAAAAATAAAACATAATAAAATAATTCTCACGACGTTTCGACCACAACACAAGCAGCCGTACTTGTGTTGTGGCCGAAACGTCGTGAGAATTATTTTATTTATGTTTTATTTTTATTATTTTATTACTTCCCTTCTACGTGAATTTACCGAAAGAACCAAGAAGATGAATCCCTGCAGTCACGAATGCTTTAAATCGAAATTTACTATTTACACTGCTAGTATTTGTACCGTATTTTAATATAGCCACCGGAAGCCACGAGAAATAGGGTGGTTACTGATGGTTTCCTTTGATAAAACATAAAGAGCACCTGTCTGGAAAATTTTAAAAAGCGCCTGCATGTCTTTGTGAACCAGCAGACTCACCAGTAGTGCAGCACTGCATATATGACACATCCCATTGTATTGATGGATTGCCCACATTACGTAAACGATTTCAGGCCTCTGTTTTCCGGTGACAATTTTACGCTCCGTGAGTCACACACGAGCAGACATGGGTTTTAAGGTGTCTCGACCCCAATCACTTGTAGTGGCAGTCTATGTTATCAAACAAAAGCATTCGTTAGAAACTGGCTTCAACAGGAATAGCCACTCCTTGTTAACATAGTGTAGTTCGCACTGTAGTCTTGCTTTAAGAAAATGTGGATGGTAATATCACATTCCACAATTTCTAAATAATAATCAGGACACAATTATGGGTCGTGCCTGAACAGAACCACAGACCATGGTGCCAAGCATTACGAGCGCTTCATCCAGTAGTAAATAGAGAATGGCTCACGAATGTTAACCGTTACAATCTACATGGGTATATGGCTACATTTACGTATTGTTCATAATAGACGATACTGTAAAAAGTGGTAAAACGCTTTTTAGTGTTAAACATAACCAAAGTTGGTCAATGGTACAGCCCTGTAATTTCCTACTCACGCCAATGCTGGCGGAAGGGCCTCCACTAGAAAGAGATCAAGATAGCCCCTCTGAATGGTATTTGGCCTACTCTTCCATGCTGGCTAGACGTCTCAGAAGTAGGAGTAGCCACACTTTATCCCACCACGCGCGAACTGTGCAGATCAATTGTGGTATAACAATTAATATACTCTACTGCGTTTAACCTTTATGCCTCGCTCTTATTCACCAGTAGGTGTGATGTTCTTAACAGTCACATGTGCTTAGCTAGATAGAAAAATAATACAAATAAAGTGAATACAAAAATTATAAAAACATTAATGTAGACTGTAGCCTGGTTCTTAAGTTGAGTGAGTGTACTGGCAGTCTATAATGTAGACTGTAGCCTGGTTATTAAGCTGGGTGAGTGTACTGACAGTCTATAATGTAGACTGTAGCCTGGTTATTAAGCTGGGTGAGTGTACTGGCAGTCTATAATGTAGACTGTAGCCTGGTTATTAAGCTGGGTGAGTGTACTGACAGTCTATAATGTAGACTGTATCCCGGTTATTAAACTGGGTGAGTGTACTGGCAGTCTATAATGTAGACTGTAGCCTGGTTAATAAGGTGGGTGAGTGTACTGGCAGTCTATAATGTAGACTGTAGCCTGGTTATTAAGCTGGGTGATTGTACTAACAGTCTATAATGTAGACTATATCCCGGTTATTAAACTGGGTGAGTGTACTGGCAGTCTATAATGTAGACTGTAGCCTGGTTAATAAGCTGGGTGAGTGTACTGGCAGTATATAATGTAGACTGTAGCCCGGTTATTAAACTGGGTGAGTGCACTGGCAGTCTATAATGTAGACTGTAGCCTGGTTAATAAGCTGGGTGAGTGTACTGGCAGTCTATAATGTAGACTGTAGCCTGGTTATTAAGCTGGGTGAGTGTACTGGCAGTGCTTAGCTCTTTGTTTTTACAGCCTTACAGCACTCAATAAAGGGTGTTAAGACTTCAAACACAATCACGAGGAGCATCAATCAAGATGCTCAAAGGCTGCAATGTCTGTGAATACCATGACAGCTGTTACTAACCTCAGAAAGAGACATGCTTAGCAATAATATGCCCCTCAGGCTCTACACATATCATTGAAAACGTACTCAAAAAATGTTATCTGTTTTAGTATTTGGATTTACTGCACCTGCCTATCAAAGAAGAGGACATAACATGATAATATAGCTTTGAGTAAAAATATGGGGCGGGGGGGGGGAAAGCACGTATATATAGTTTGAAGATCGGTGTTTAAAATACATATTTTAGAGCGGGAAAGAGGGTTAAAATGATCAAGGCTAGAGAGGGGATTTAGATGATATTAGAGGTGCAAACGAATTGAGAAACAGTCAATTGCTGTAGAAAATTATTTGAGCCTGGGATTGAACAAGAGGAAGGGTTCTCAGTTGTGCAGTCAACCAGCGGAAGGGAATTCCAGGCAATAATATCAGCTTCAGAGAAGGAACCATCCTCCCGTTGAGCAAAGGTTGAGTGTGGAATGACTAAGGGTGCATGTTGTATGAGTGTGCTTTATGCAAAATTGAACGTGCACGTTCAGTGCAATACTCTCTTACTGTTGTTGTGTTGGCTGCAGTGATGTCTATGCAGACACGATGTACTCCGAATAGGCACTTGGTAAAGATAAAGAACATGCTGGGACGGTGCGGTGATGGAATCTTGGATTCCAGGACACTGACTCATGGCCAGCAAGACTGCTGACTAAGCAGGACGCAGTCTCGCTCCCCCACTCCATGCCCTGCCTCCCCACGCCTGCCATCTGCTGAGCTGTACAGGGTGATCGAAATGTCTTGTGACCCTCAATTAATTGACCCCAGACATGTTTTTCCTTTACATGTTCATTTCTGTTATAAATAAAGCTGACTTAAAACTTCGATTTAAAGCTTTCGTAACTGCAGGGATTCATCTTCTTGGTTCTTTCGGTAAAGTCACGTAGAAGGGAAATAATACAATAATAAAAATATTCGGTAAAGTCACGTAGAAGGGGAATAAAATAATAAAAATAAACCTTTTTTATTTTATTATTTCCCTTCTACGTGACCTTACCGATTATTTCCCTTCTACGTGACTTTACCGAAAGAACCAAGAAGATTACTTAAAACTATTTAAAGTTTTAGACAATTAACTATTAAAAAAACTATAAACTATTTTTATTTTAAACTATTTTTTTTATTTTACCAGATAAGGCCCACTGAGCTATATAAGCTCTTTTTACACGCTTTTATTTAACTCACTCTGTCTGTTGTTGTTG